TGTTTGGAACTCGTGTGAGTCTTATCTCCCCTTTAGTTATACACATGCATGTGAATAACATTCATTGTATAACTGAAAATGCTTTCTGAAGATGCAAGCTGAATGATATAACTAATGATGCGGGTCAAGGGCAAAACAGGATTCTTCAAGGTGCAGGTGAAGGCTATAACGGTGTATTTCCTGTAGGTGCGGATGACTGGTATAACTCGGGTTGCTTGTAGGTGGGGGATAAGAGTAAACTTAAGAGCTGGAACTGTTTATTAATATTTTTTTTTTTTAATTTCAGGTAGGTGATGACGGCTCACCGAAGGACAGTTAGCGCCCCACCAGTAAGGTAAGTTCATGTTATACACCAGTTTTCACTAAAGCTTTTCTCACTGTTCAGAAGTATAATCATACGATGCTTCACTTGTATCGTTATGAAGGATGTAAGCTTCCCGTCTCCTCTCGCCAAGAGGACATTAAAACAACCACACATTCCCTTTCATTGGACGTAGACATGGTCATCATACCTTAGTTTTGGTTATGGAGTATAACTTGCCATCTCTGGTTAATAGTGATGTATCCCTTGTCACGTAAGTACGGACGACATCAAAGTCTCCTTCCGAGAAATATGAAAGCATCTTCCTAACCAGGTATAAGAGAGCACTGATCCTTCCCGGAGAGAGGTCTTCAGAGCTCGGCCTTCCATTCAAAACATATTTACATCAAAAATGATCTTTTGCTTGTTGGGATGAGTCTTTAGTTTCCGTTTTTAGGTGGCATTCCTCCAAGGGTGGGAGTGCCTTGATGACGTATTACTTCTGATCTATGCAATTTGAGGTACCTTTCCCTACCTTAAATCGAAGCTGACTGCCTCCCATTCCCCAGCCGTTTTGACTCCTACGGGATTTTTCAAAAAACTGAATCATTGCTGCAATAATTGTTAATATTAGTCTCCTTCACCTCTCTTGTTTTCAAGGGATTGAGGTTATTTTGACGAAGTTAAATTCGACAGTAGCGAGAGGACCTTTAGAACTAAGTCAGCAGCAACAAAAGCTAGACACCCTAAGAAAACTTTATTTTTATACATCATGGAAGCGATAAACCCATGTGGACCATTCAACGCAATGAGTTGCGTAGATTCAGTACTCCATCTGGAAAGAGTGAGACACGCTCCCTTCCAGACTTACCTTCCCAAGCATGCTGTTTCGGTGAGGCGTTGCCTCTGAGCTATTATGAGGCGCTGTATGAACCTACTTTCCCACTACACAGGGTTGGTTATCTTGACGTGGTGCTGTAGTTTGAGTGGCTTGTGCCGGGGGGGGGGGGGATGGGGTAAGGAGGTCGGGCTTCTCTTATCTGAAGGGTGTCGCTCTGGATTTGTATTTGCCTGACTAAGAACCCGCTATCTGTTTTGCCGTAAATGCTGGATATTTACCTTTTGTTCAAATTTGCTGATATCTGTGGCCAATAACAATGAATTACAGATTGTGGAATGTCAATATTTGATTTAGAATAATGTTACTCGCTTTGAGACAACGATTTATGCAATATAAAAGTGAACTGTTCCCGACAGTAACAAGTTCATAATAACAATGTAAATCTGATAATACTAGACACGGTATGTGTTTAAATTGCTGAGTAACCAGGAGGTAATGGGTAATCAAGCATATTAAAAGCTAAAATAAGAAATACAATGTAAATACTTTATGAAATAACCCGGAACATGTACAAAGTAAGACTAGACAACATTAGTAAAATAATAATTAAATACTGCTTCTAGAGGGACGATTTTCACAGAATAATAATCTCAAAGCTAAGAGGAAAATCCTCTCAGGAATATAATGTAGAAGAGATCGGCTACGAAGATGCCCTTACCATGTAAGATAAGATAAGATAAGATTTCGTTCGGATTTTTAACCCCGGAGGGTTAGCCACCCAGGATAACCCAAGAAAGTCAGTGCGTCATCGAGGACTGTCTAACTTATTTCCATTGGGGTCCTCAATCTTGTCCCCCAGGATGCGACCCACACCAGTCGACTAACACCCAGGTACCTATTTGCTGCTAGGTGAACAGGACAATAGGTGTAAGGAAACGTGTCGAAATGTTTCCACCCGCCGGGAATCGAACCCGGGCCCTCCGTGTGTGAAGCGGGAGTTTTAGCCACCAGGCCACCGGGCCACCAAAAACAGTCATGTCAGTACTGCCATCTTATATTATAATTGTCATAGCATGTGTAAAGGCGCCCTTACAGTGAGTGCTGAATCCAAGGAACAGTCCTCGGTACGCCTCAAGATGTAAAGTAAAATTAATAAATATTATATGCACCCGTAAAAAAGGAATTCAGTTGCGAGTCATTTTTATAATCACTATTCATTGTAATAGTTATACATGTGCGGCGTCTGGTTGTCTTTGTTGTGGACGTTTCGCCATCCAGTGGCTGGCTGGATGGCGAAACGTCTACGATAGGGATGCCCGGGTGTTGCGCATGTGTCTTAATTTCATCTTGTCGGTATTATATACCATTCTTGTACTACTACTACTACCATCACCTCTTCCTGCCTATATATAGCCGTCCTACTCCACTTCTGGTTAGTGTGACTTTGTCAATGGTCCAAGTCGGACCGAAGCGTCGTCGTAAGCTTCTCTCTTTTATGTGCGGGTTATTTGTGTATCGTTCCAGTCACGGTATTGTGCCTTTTTTTGTTATTTAATAGTCAGTTATAATTAAAAACTAGCCTATGAAGCGAGTCAAAGGGAGATGCCACTCGTGCTGCCAGCATGGGTCATACTGCTTTGTGGCACCCACCGTCCAACAGTGGTATGTTATGGCTTCCGTCGCTTAGCAAGCCCCGGAAAGTATATCTGTATTCCATAAGCCGAGTCCCCCCCCCCCCCCGTCCACCTGAATGCACGTGAGTGTAGCATGTTTTTAAAGACAATCAGGAGAGAGAGAGGCGCATGTTATTACATGGCAACTATTATCCTGCTTTCTTAACAAAAACTGCAAATTGGCCTCTACACAACCCAAACCCAAGTGGAACCTTCCACTGCACCAGACACTCTAGCATTTCAACTTGAACCACTCAGAAGCTGCATTCTGAAGCTACCAGCATTAAATGTTTCCAGCTAATCAGATGAGGTATTGAGAAATTATTGTTTGGAAGCCAATAAAACAAGTTTCTTCCATTTCTTTAACAAGTAATCAGTACCTTAATATCAAAATCAATCCAAACTTTTCTTAAAGTAAAATGCACCATTATTTATGGTTTGAAGCCAATCAGAAGTAACATATTTTAAAGTTTTTGCTTGAAAATCGATTTGAATAATAAAACTGACAAGTTAAGTTTACACAGCCCCAAAATCAGTGCGAAGATTCCTTAGAGGAAAACACATCAGTGCAAAAAGTTTGAATCCGACCAGATGATAAATTCAGCAGTTATCATATGCAATCCAACATTTCCTGGCTTATTAACTATGTTAGTAAACTGGCAAATTTTCACCTAGACAGCCATAAAAGGCATCAGCCATTAAGGTTTGAAACTTCAGAAGAAGCATTCTCGGTTATTTCATGGAAAAATACTATATAGTTTTAAAAATAAAATCGATAATTTGGCACCTGTCCTCTCCAATGACAATTCCAGTACATTTCCATGCAAGATACGCCACTGTGGGACGTGACGTGACTAGTCTCAGCGATTCCTGATGATAGGACCTTTTCTGGCAGATGCTTGATGAAGAGTTGATTAAGCTGTGCACAAACCCTTACGCCTCAAGTCTTCCTAAGTGTAGTCTTACAAAAGATTGACTTCTTGTGGCCAATGGACCCACATGACCCCTCAAGAGTCCCGCAAAAACCTGCCAGTTTAGATTTATTTTGTTTAGCATCACTTTGTCACAATTTCTGCTTCGGTTCACACTGAACACTTGTTTGGTGAAGTCCTTAAGTCTGCTTAAAGACAAATACTAAAAGTCTGTGTGGAGAATTTTAGAGTTAGTGACCATTGAAGAGGATTTAAGTTTTATATGCAGGTTTTGTGATGCCTCACAAAACGAAGCTGTGGCATATTTAAGCAGCATTGTAGGATCTTGTTAGCAAAGATCCAACAGATGTTGAATCAACTACGATGTCATTGGAAGTATATACTTCCCAAGGCTCCATGGTGAGGGGGATTTTGAGAAGCTGATCTGTTCTGAAACGATACCTAAAGAAACCTCTTCACTGCTTAAGAATCGACTTAGAAGAACTGAGAACAGTCGTGACAGACGTGGAAAGCAAAGTCAGTAAGCGACGTCTGTCTTGTCAGTAATGATCTAGACAACTTAGAAGTATAGTCTGTCATGCTGAAAGCGGACGATGAAATGAACCACTTTCATTTATGCGAGATAATGCCGTCTTGGAGAATTCGGACTTCCATGAGTCTGATCAACTCAAAGGGAAGATCAGTCACATCACTGGTGTGACTTGAGTGCTGAGAGGTCTGGTGAGATTATATTGTGTAATTAAAGGAACGCATTTATAGGGGGCTGAAGTTTCTAGCAATAAGATGTCCATGTAATGGGTGATGTGGTGAGAATAGATGATCCAAGGCCCAGATGGCCTCTACGAAAAAGTTATCACGATCAGGACATTTGAGGTCCTGAGTAAACGAGCAATTCGCTCCCAGGCCATAGATACACTCTTACCATTAGAATTACATAATTCAGTGAAAGAAAACATTGCTTCTCAGGAAACACCACAAATCAAATTACGCTGATCCTGAGGTAGTGATTAGAGAACGAATCGAAGGAATCATGGACAATTAAGTTTGTCTACTTCAGACTTCTCTTACCCCACAAGTGTAGAAAATTCCATGGGGAGCCGTTATTGGCCTGATAACACAAGTTAAATAGTCTTAAAGCTAACGGTGACTACTAAAAAATGATTAAGAATTATCTTTAAAAAAATTATATATCCTTCAGAATATCAGACACCGCTGTCATGTTCCATTAAAAATACAAGGATACAAAAGAACTGTTCTTGTGTCGTCTGTTTTATAACAAATCATTATATAAACAAAAAATAATTAGATCAAACAATATTTAACAATATTCAAGAACATTGTTAATACATTCAACATATACGAACATGTGTATAAAGAATACAACTTAAGATGAATGCAGGCTCGTCGACCAACACAAGAAAAAGACAAAATATTAACATGCCTATCACATCTTTCCTTCCTGATGATTTATTAGACAACAGAGTAGTTCAGCGGACAGATAAAGTGAGCGCTTGGAGTGCGCTGGAGGGAAGGATATTGTGAAGAGAAGTCAGGAAAGGGTTACCTCTGGCGTACCGCGGCAGAAAATTATACCGTGGTAGATGGAGCAGGGAAGGCAGAGTTGGCCAGTGATTGGCAAGGTAAGGGAAGGATACGGAAGAGGAAGGCAGGGGCTCAGCTCTCATCCACCGTGCCAGCCATACTCTCAGAGCGAAAGGCCTCCACTTGAGCCTGACTATCGCCCCTCATCAGTCGACGCAGGTCAGGCTGAAGAATACAAAACAATCAAAATAAACAATTATTACAGAAATAACTAAAAATATTAATTTATAAAATACACAAAAATATTTATACTCTTTTTTTGTTTTTTTACCCCATGGTGAAAAAAGTATAAAAGAAAAATGCTAATTGAAATATTCTCTATAAAGAAAATTGGAAAGTCTTGTCTTAGTGAAACATTGTATCTTAGTATGTATTGTAACAAGATACATGTGTAACACTTGAGTATTGGTCCACCGACCATATATATGTGTGTGTGTGTGTGTGTACTCATTTGTGGTTGCAGGGGTCGAGTCATAGCTCCTGGCCCCGCCTCTTCGCTGATTGTTACTAGGTCCTCTCTCCCCCTGCCCCATGAGCTTTATCATACCTCGCCTTAAAACTATGTATGGTTCCCGCCTCCACTACGTCACTTTCTAGGCTGTTCCACTGCCTGACTACTCTGACTGAAGAAATACTTCCTAACATCCCTTTGATTTATCTGAGTCTTCAACTTCCAATTGTGACCTCTTGTGTCTGTGTCCCATCTCTGGAACATCCCGTCTTTATCCACCTTGTCTATTCCGCGCAGTATTTTATATGTCGTTATCATGTCTCCCCTGACCCTCCTGTCCTCCAGTGTCGTCAGGCCGATTTCCCTCAACCTTTCTTCGTAGGACAATCCCCTTAGCTCTGGGACTAGTCTTCTTGCAAACCTTTGCACTTTCTCTAATTTCTTGACGTGCTTGACTAGGTGTGGATTCCAAACTGGTGCTGCATACTCCAGTATGGGCCAGACGTAAATGGTATAGAGAGTCTTGAACGAATCCTTACTGAGGTATCGGAACGCTATCCGTAGGTTTGCCAGGCGCCCGTATGCTGCAGCAGTTATCTGATTGATGTGCGCCTCAGGAGATATGCTCGGTGTTATACTCACCCCCAGATCTTTTTCCTTGAGTGAGGTTTGCAGTCTTTAGCCATCTAAACTATATTGTCTGCGGTCTTCTTTGCCCTTCCCCAATCTTCATGACTTTGCATTTGGCAGGGTTAAACTCAAGGAGCCAGTTGCTGGACCAGGCTTGTAGCCTGTCCAGATACCTTTGTAGTTCTGCCTGATCTTCAATCGAATGAATTCTTCTCATCAACTTCACGTTATCTGAAAACGGACACTGCGGAGTCTATTATTTCCGTCATGTCGTTCACTAATACCAGAAACAGCACTGGTCCTAAGACTGACCCGTGTGTGCGTGTGCGCGTGTGCGCGCGCGCGCATGCGTGTGTTCAATAACACACTGCGGCTAGCCAGGGAATTGAACCCGTGTTGTTTTAGCCCGCCTCGTGGGAAGAAAGTCAAAATTCACGACGCTGTAGCCACTGAACCAAACAATCCTCCTAGGTAGGACTGTTTGGTAAGAGCGTTGATCCCATGGCTAGCCGCAGTGTATTACTGCATAAATACCACTTGTTCATGGTTGCATTTAAACATATCTTTTTATGTATGCATAGTGTATATATGAATGCATGTTATTTATCTCTGATTATAAAGACTAAGAAAGTCAAGTTTTCTGATTTTTCCAACACTTTTCACAGAAGTAAATAAGGGGTAGAGAGGCGATCTCATAGGGTATGATGTTGAAGGGAAGGAAGGGAGCATGAAGAGAATGAAAGGGAGGGATCTATGTACTGGTACTTGAAGGGAAGGAAAAGGTGTGACCTCTATTGCGAACATGAAAGAAAGGGAAGAGTGACGTGCATAAAGGTAAGGGCGGTACATACCTTGGGGTGCATAAGTATGAAGGGCAGTTCAGCTGTCACTTCACCGCCAATGGCCCCGAGGTAGAGCTTCACCTTCACCGTGTACGAGATCACCATCCCGAACATATCCCGAGACTCAGGGTTGGCCAACCTGTGGAAGGCAGTCACAGTGGTTAGTGGATGTGTAGAGGGCGTTGACGGCTTCAGGTGGACCTCAGGACAAGTGGGCGTCGTGGACGTCAGCGAGGACAGGTGAGGTAGCTGACATAAGGAGGAAAATGATTCGCAAGAATTATTAATTTATTTGTCTTTGCAAATAGTACATTGAGACTGTATATACAATAATGGGTCGCAATGCAAAGAGAGAGCCTCTATTATGCTTAGGCATTATGGGTCGACTTAACATTATTGGCTTACAGACTACTTAACACTAAGAATTATGTCATAACTGTTCAGTATAATATTAATTATATCATAGTTGTACAGTGGATTATCAGTATTATGTTATACGAGGGATGAAGTTAGGCAGAATGATAAACATGACGTAACATCAGGAGAATGGCAAGAATGACTCAGGATATCAACGACAAGCAAATAATAAGCGCCAAAAAAAAAATCATGTGACATCAGTGAATGACGAACGTAAGATATCGTATTTTCCGGCATATAAGGCGCCCCTTTTTTCCCACAAAAATCATTGAAAAATCACCCTGCGCCTTATATGGTCAAGATCAAGGTTAGGTTTTGCGTAAAGTAAGGGGGTAATTAGCCGTTGTATGTGATTACCGATTTACCTTTATGATACTTCTATCGTGCGCCTTATATGCCGGAAAAATGCGGTAACTGTTAATAAAATGACAAGAATGTATTCGTGTCAAGATAATGGCAAGAACTGCATCATTGCAAACAGAATAACACCAAGGAGTGTTGCTACATTAACCCACAGTAACACGAAGTACAGGAGCGATCAAAACACCGTTTAATTATTAATCTCAAAATTGGAGGTTGTGACTTGTTCAAGCCACGGCATTGTGACTAGCATAAATAATATAATAATTATTATAATCTTTCAGGATGATATAATGTTTGTACAGAGATGGGTGACATTCAGTTGTGCATGCAGAAAACCCATAGTTATAAAGAACACTTCAGGCAGACTTAAGCCTAACTTAATGCTACAGTGGCAATAACTAATTAATTGTGGAAAAAGACACTTATGTACAGTTCAGGACATTTATTAAAGGAAACGTTTCGCCACGAGTGGCTTCTTCAGTCCTAATACCGAAGAAGGACTGAAGAAGCCACTCGTGGCGATACGTTTCCTTTAATAAATGTCCTGAACTGTACATAAGTGTCTTTTTCCACATCTTGTCGGTATCACCATACCATTTCCTCAACTAATTAATTGCCTATATATAAGGATATTAAGCGTAAAACTTGCAGAATTATACTGGATGAAGAATTCTTAAGGGCAGGCACTAGCACCAAGTCTGCACGAGCTAGAGAATGAAGATGAAATATTGAGTAGTAAGAGGAGTAAATTGTGAAGGATAAGAAATGTTGCTCACAGGGTGGAAGAGGCGAGGTTGGTATGAATGTTCCTGAGGTGACCATCAAGCGCTATACCCCGGCGGTCCATGTTACTACTGAGTGTCGGTGAGAGTGTCAGCTGCTTCTGGAGGCCGGACCCTGGGTTGATTGGACATCCATCTCTGTTAGAGTAGCACATATTATTACATGTAAATCTGTATACGTTATTACAAACTACTGCTCACAAAGTTATTGTCTGATCTTACATAAATAACCTGCACATAGAGAGTAGCTTACAACGACGTTTCAGTCCGACTTGGATAATTTTCAAATTCACACAATGTGACTTTGTAAATGGTCCAAGTCGGACCGAAACGTCGTCGTAAGTTCCTCTCTCCTATGTGCGGGTTGTGTATTGTTCCAGTCACGGTATTGTGCCATTTTTTTTTATTGTCTTTATTGTTCTTTAGTGAAGGTAACAGCTTTCCCCTTATAAAAAGAGAAATGTTGGAAGCAAATAACTTTTTTATAGCAACCCCGTCAACCTCCGTTCCACCACTAATTTTCATTTTCCCCCTTCCCCCTCTTTTTCCCCAGGCAGTCACCTTTCATGGTAGGATAAATACCTCTTTCCATGTGTGTGTGATAGACCTCTCAGAGTACGGTAATTCACGAGTAGCAGCAATTTCAGCTGCTCGTATTCGTTGGGGCAGTTAGCATCTATGACTTTTATAGCTAGGTTGAAAGTAGGCTATCTTAAAAGCCAGGTTGTGGCATGCAAAGAGTACATAACCTTTATTCGGCGCATGGACACACCCTCATTTACAGGCTATCTCCCCCAACCAGCGAACCAGGTTGCTAAGAGTTGGTGATGGGGCCCCATCGTTCAACTGGTTCTAGCCAATAAGAAGGTGGGATTGGCAATCGCAGAGGTTATGGTTGAGCACGGTCTGCTATCTTGTGGCTTCTATTTCTGCCTTGCTTACCGTGACGTGCACTATACTTATTACTGTACATAGTGTACATATTGCTGTTCTAAATTGGTGAAGGATAATATAAGTCTAAACTTTTTCTGCTGTGTTTCTTTTGCTCCCATTACACCTGGGATAACAGGCCTTTGAAATCCTAGGTTGTAATACAGGTATTGTCAATATCTAGGTTGAATATGTGGGTCAGAGGGCTACCTTCAGCAACAGCCTGGCAAGCACTAGACAAGCCTAGCCCAAGGTCGGGTTCTAGGAACAGAAAAAAACTCTGAACTCATCAAAGATATGAAGGTATAGCTTTTCTCTTCCTTTGGTAGTTTTGTTGCCTTCCAAGTATGTTGTACTTCCATATTTTATTAAGACAACAAGATTCCTCCAGCAGCTTCGTTTTAACTCTAAAGAATATCCTCTAAAAAAATACATTTTCCTGTTTTAAGTTTGCTATATAGAGTGCATTCTATTGATATTTTATAAACGTCTAGTTTATTTGACTAGTTTTTTATTGAGCATCGTTAACCTAGCTTATACAATTCTTCATTTATGTTTAGCCAGTCATTCCGTATAGCATCCCGATTGGGCAGTATTTGCTTCATATTTATGTAACTCGTGATATTCTTTAAAAGACACGAATTAACTTCTGTATTGCTTAAACTGAATCAAATTCCTCGTTAATAAGGATTCGTTATTTAAGCGATGATCAAGTATCTGAAGCGCAGATGGTACAGCTATCAGTTGATACATTTTCCAGTCATCTTTTCTTCTAGTTGCAAGACAGATGTCCACCTTCACGCAGTACACATGTTCTGTCTTCCTTGTTTCCGTGTTATACAGGTGGGTGATGCTCTGTTGGGTCAGTTCAGGTATTGTTTAAGATGTTATGAATGCTAGGTTTGTATCTTTTTGTTTTGGGGAACCCGGGTGATTGCCTTAATAGTTAGATACACGTCTTCGAAAATGAACTACTTTATAAGAAAATAATATAGTTGCTTTATCACTCACTGGGTCTCGACGCTGGCGACGGTGGTGCGGTACTGACCCCCGGAGAAGAGACAGATGTCGACGGACTGCTGGACAGCGGCCTTGATCTTCTTCACTGTCTTGTTGCTGTTGTTCTTAATGATGCAGTCGACGGTGATGTTCTCGTAGTGGTAGTAGAGCTGCTTGTCGAGAGTTACCTCCAGTTCCAGCTCTCCAGGGCTCAGCATGAAGTCCTTCTTGACGACGGTGCGCGGCTGGCGACCCACCTTGCTAGGAGCAAACTGGATGCGACGGATGTTCATTACTATTGTGGATCTGATGGCACACGGAAGAAGGAGAGTATAAACTAGAAAAATGGATTGATTCTTAGGATTTACCTTAAAACACACAATAAGGTAACAAGAAAAATTCCCTTGCCCCTCGCCACCCAAACAAAAAATATGAAATGCTGTCAGCTGTGTAATGTTTACCTACTTCATCACTTCAACACTAATCCCAAATAAAACTGTCACGTTTCTCCCTCTTATTTCATCTTTAGTTTACTATTTAATTGTGATTTGTTAGTTACGTTAATGCGATTTTTGTTTGGCTGAAGTTAAAGCATGTGAATTACTTAGTCGTAGTAGAAAGAATAAACGGTTTAATGGGACTTCTGGTTTAGTATATTACTCACGAGCAATGTGCAGCAGCGAGGTGCAGCTCACTGTACGACCAGAAGCTTCACGAGCAATGTGAAGCAGCGAGGTGCAGCTCACTGTACGACCAGAAGCTTCACGAGCAATGTGAAGCAGCGAGGTGCAGCTCACTGTACGACCAGAAGCTTCACGAGCAATGTGAAGCAGCGAGGTGCAGCTCACTGTACGACCAGAAGCTTCACGAGCAATGTGAAGCAGCGAGGTGCAGCTCACTGTACGACCAGAAGCTTCACGAGCAATGTGAAGCAGCGAGGTGCAGCTCACTGTACGACCAGAAGCTTCACGAGCAATGTGAAGCAGCGAGGTGCAGCTCACTGTACGACCAGAAGCTTCACGAGCAATGTGAAGCAGCGAGGTGCAGCTCACTGTACGACCAGAAGCTTCACGAGCAATGTGCAGCAGCGAGGTGCAGCTCACTGTACGACCAGAAGCTTCACGAGCAATGTGCAGCAGCGAGGTGCAGCTCACTGTACGACCAGAAGCTTCACGAGCAATGTGCAGCAGCGAGGTGCAGCTCACGGTACGACCAGAAGCTTCACTGAGCAATGTGCAGCAGCGAGTTGCAGCTCACTGTACGACCAGAAGCTTCACGAGCAATGTGAAGCAGTGAGGTGCAGCTCACTGTACGACCAGAAGCTTCACGAGCAATGTGAAGCAGCGAGGTGCAGCTCACTGTACGACCAGAAGCTTCACGAGCAATGTGAAGCAGCGAGGTGCAGTTCGCTGAGCGACCAGAAGCTTCACGAGCAATGTGAAGCAGCGAGGTGCAGCTCACTGTACGACCAGAAGCTTCACGAGCAATGTGCAGCAGCGAGGTGCAGCTCGCTGAGCGACCAGAAGCTGACTTGGTCTGATTATAAACTTGGTTCATTATTTATCATTCTTGATTCATAATACATTCCAGAATTCATCGAAATGTAATTTATAAGTATAATAAAATATTCGTTTACCAAAGAATAACATAAATAGTATAAAAGTACATTTACCAAGACTGAACACACACTAGGCTGAGAGACTGACTACCTCAAACTCCTCACCTTTCAACATTCTTTGCTGTATTAGACTGAGGAAGCCACTGTCTCGCGAAATGTTTCCAGAATAAAGATATGCAGATGTTGCACAAGTCTCATTTATCATCTCTGGAGAGGTTTGCATGCCTTGTCACTCACCTCTTGTGGCTGTGTTCGTCTTCCTTCTCTCCGACGAAGACTTTTATGTAATACTCGACACCACAAGGGCGACCCTCGTCATCCCGCCCTGGCTGAATGGTGACTGAAGGCGGGGCGTTGGTTGGCATATGGAAGGAAAAGGGATAGGCGTTCCCTCCCAGCTTCTTAATGAGCCGTTCCTGGAGCTTGGTGATCTGAGCATCATCTTTGGGTGGGTAGATTTGCTGGGAAGCGAGGTAGAGATCTTTTTGAAAGCTGAGGCCCATCACTTCATCTTCTTCTCGGCCGTACCTGAAGCTACACACAAGCTGGCCAAATACCTTGCGACCTTGAAGATATTCCGTGTCCAACACCAGCACGCCGTCTGCAGGAGAAAGTTAAGTGCTTACTACTTGAATGTATTTAGTTAGTGTGAGTAATCAGTCAATTTCGTAGTCTGCCAGGTTACCGGGGGCTCTCACTAAACATAAATATTAAAAAAAAGATGCATCTTCCACCAAGAAGGTTGCTTCCAAGTATAATCGCCTTAGCCCTCATAAACATTTCCTGGCTGCAGTGAAGATTTGAAAAAGGTGTTTTTTGGAGTGCGGCTTTTCTGATGAAGTTTACGCATTTAACGTCAAGGGTTACTGTTGTCTGCCATAATGGACGTAGCCGAACTGACAACTACGTACACATGTATGTGAGATTTCGCTCATCTTTCCAAGCTTCTACGATGGTTATTGCTTGTGCTGTTGGGTGTAGTAATCAGCAAGATGGCAAGTCAATTCTAGCATTCTACAAGTTCCTCAAAGATTATGACAGACGAAAATAAATGATTTCTGCCGTCAAGCGGAAAGAGTTGGCACCAACAAGACTTGCAACAGATAGGATGGGAAAATTCTCTGAGGGACGACAGAAGCGTATGTCAGACCATGTCACACTGAAATAATTTCATAGATGTAATGGAAAAGTCATTATTTAACAAAGACTACAATCCAATACCATTTTGCTATGTCACCTGGCCTAGTGAAATGTAATGAGCGTGGTGAGGATTAACGGCTGCCACAAATTGGTATCATCTGAAAACTCATCTGATCAGGAAAAAATTAATATCGTTAGCTGTGATCACCACCAGCAACTCGTTATTTCAAAGCATTATATAAAAATAACCATTAAATGAGGCCAGTTATTTCGTTGAAATTACTTTCGTCTTCAAACCAGGTTTGGCACTGATGCAACAAGGAGTGATTTGTTAACACGCCTCTTTCTTGAATCATCAGATTTACACACCCACTTGTGAGTAACTAAATCTATATTGTGGTCACCATCACATACCTGCTATGCACAACGCTGTTCTAACATCACTTTTAGTAATAATGGTAGAATTACCAACAAAATGTTAGGTAAAAGGACACAGATGCAACTAATGTGTCATTTTATTGTGGCAACGTTTCGCTCTCCGAAATTTTGCCACAAAATGCATCCATATTCTTTTACTTAACATCCCTTCTGTATTCATACACTTGCTTATTCATACTTCTTTCAGTTTCTCCTACATACATTGTTTCCAAATGTTGCTTTCAGCGAGGACAAAAATACACATCTTTGTCATCGTTGTTATTGATGTAGTTTTAACAAGTGTTGTATTATTTCTTTCAGATGTTTTTTATTAGGCAGCACTAAGCATAAATAAAGTCTGAAGATATTAAATTTTAAACTTTAAAGAAAAAATTGACGGCAGAATTGACTTGCGAAATGAACCACTGAGGGTAATGTAAAACCCCCCAAAATATTATGTATCTATGTGAACTTGGAGAGAACACATGAAAATCTCTCAGAAATATGAACAATATTGCAGATAACTTGCAGGTCACGTCGTAAAAACTAGAATATATACATGAGTGAGTTGTCCTTTTCTGTTTACTTTTTCAAATAATTTTCTGATGAAATTTGGTTAAGATATGAAGATTACACTTCCGTAATGTGGACATGACGGCAACATTTTATTTTCTTGGATAAATTAAAAGATTTGCGTCTGCAAGAGACGGCTAACTCCTAGTTACCTATTTACTGCTAGGTGAACACGAACAGCAAGTGTTGGGACACTTTGCTAAACGTTTCACAAAAGCATAAAAAGCCACTTGATCACCAATTACACATTACTGAATGGCCATCAAGACTCACCAACGGGGTCGACGGCAGAGACGTGGTCAACAAAGTCCCTGCGGCCCAGGTAGATGGTTAACTTGCCGTTGGGAGCCGGTTTCTTGAACACTTTAAACTGTACCACCATCTTGGCTGTTTTGCTGTGGCTCGGAGAGTTTTGACTGTATTTTGCTGGACCTCTGCTGTCTTAGAAGTGAACGAAGTATGTGCAAATCGGAGGCGCCTTGGTAGTAGTCGACTGGGAGCCGAATTCTCTGACGAAAATCAACAGATATATCACTAAAAACTTTTTCTTAATTGAGAGGTAAAAGCTTGCATAATAGAGAAGCAGAGAAGAGAGGTGTGCGTGTTGGCCACAAGTTGAGGCTACTCACCAAACGTTACTCGTCTCTGTGTTGACGAGGAGTGATGACCATGCACTTGCCAGGTCTTATATACTCATGAACACACCCACCCCCCCTCACTTGTCTTTCCCCGTCCACACACCTCCCCTCACTCGCCTTCCACAGCACACCCCTCTGCATCTTACAGCAGAGGGGTGTGCTTTGACTTTTTGGGTCATCCTAGGTAATTTGCACATATGCTGCTAAGTATGATAATCTATGTAACTATATTTATGTGCACCTGTAACTGAATAAACTTAGTACTAACAGCAAATCTGAGACACTTCTCCTGTAACAACGCATAGATAAATACATCTGCCTCCCATCCATCTCCCCTTCCTCACTCTCATCCACCCATCCCCTCATACATTCATCCTTCCACCACGCCCAGAAACCTCGCACCAAAACCCCACCTTCTCACCTCCCACAACACATATTCCCCTCATACCATCCTATGCACCTATCACACTTAATATCCATCGAACCACCTACTGTTCCCACCCATCCAGTTACCTTCCGCCACACTCCCAGCACAGTCAGAGAACACAGTACTATCAGTGGATTGTACGTTCATCCCGCCGCTCACTGTTATTTAGTAACATCATTCGCCAACTTTACACAAACCCGCACACAGAACGAAATTTATAAAGTTGCAGTCAGACTTGGACCAGTTAATGGTGATTTAGTCACCATTAACTGGTCCAAGTCGGACTGAAACTTTGTATTTCATTCATTACCTGTGCGGGTTATATTTGGTGTTGTTCCAGTCACAGTATTGTCTTTTTATTCTTCTTTCGCAAACTTACGTGAAATCTGTTGATTCATTCTCACTTTTGGCAGGAAAAACATTATATAAATATATATATAAATATATATATATAAATATATATATAAATATATATATATAAATATATATATATAAATATATATATATATATAAATATATATATAAATATATATATATATATATATATATTATAACTGTGTGTGTGTGTGTGTGTGTGTGCGCGCGCGCGCGAGGAGCAGGGGACATAAGCGGGAGACAGTTGGATGGCTTCCTAAGATTATCCTGGATCAACCTAGTTTGTAGTGTGCGTGTGCATCACGCGACTCACTGAGGGAGAGTTTCAGAGACACGCAAAAGATCAGATACAGGTACTATACAATATTTTATTTCCTGCAGTAAACAAAATGTAGTTTACATGTAATAAAATATTGTTAAGCACAAAAGCCCAGTATCTCGCGGTGCATTTCAGGCAGACTACCTAAGAACCAGAGACAGGTTATTGAGTGGGTGTGGGACCGTCATCATATTAAAATACAGTCCTCAGTGGGCACTATCAAGTAATAAGGGCTTCGTAATGTCTCTGTTCCATTAATTCCATTCAGGTTGTTCCACCTTGTAAACACAGGTTGCAAAAATATTTACTGACTTCACCTACGTAGCGTCGTACACTTTCAACTGTTCCTCTGTGTACCCGTTTTCCGCCTCTTCAGAAGTTTTTTCTGTTCTCTACCAAGTCCTCTGAGCATTTTTTGCCTATTATCCTCGGCACTTTAACTAGTCTCTTGACATGATTTGCCAAGAGTGTGAGTAGGAGTATGAATGTACGTGTGTACTCGCCTACATATGGTTGCAACGGTCAAGTTTTAGCTCCTGGCCCCGCCTCTCGACCTGCCCTTGCCAGATTCTCTCTTCTAGCCTCGCGGGTTCTATCGTGTCTCTGAAAATTATGTATGGAGTCTGCCTCCATCACTTCTTCGTCGAGGCCACTCCACTTCCCGACCACCCTGAGACTGAAGAAATACTTCCTGACATCCCTGTGACTCACCTGTGTCTTTAACTTCCAGCTTTGCCCTCGAGCCCCTGTTTCCCGCCTCTCAAACAGCCTGTCCTTGTTTTATCAATTCCTCTGAGTATTTTTTATGTAATCATGTCTTCCCTGGTCCTTCTGTCCTCCAGGGTCGTTAGATTCATTTTCTTTTGTCTTCGTAGCTCATACTTCTTAACTCTTGAACTAGTCTCGTTGCATACTTCTGCACTTTCTCCAGTTTCTTAACATGGTTCCTCAGATGCGAGTTCCATATTGGTGTTGCGTAATCCAAGATGGGACTGCCATATGTTGTATAAAGCATCCGCAATGACTGCTGAGATTCCTGAAGGCCACTCTGATTCGCCAGGGAAGCATTGGCTGTAGAGATTATTCGGTTGATGTGGGCCTCAGGCGATATGCTAGGCATTATGGTTACTCCAAGACCTCTTTCAGTGAGGTATGCAGCATCTGTCTCCAGAGTCTATACTCTGTGTCCGGTCTTCTGGGCCCTTTACCCGACCTTCATAACCTTACATTCGATGGGGTTGAATTCAAGCAACCACTTGTTTGTCCAACTCTGCTATTTGTACCCATTTGCAGCCTTTCCTCATCCCCATCTGTCGGTAATCTCTTCATTACTTTTGTATTATCAGCGAACAGAGATGCATCTGACTCGTTCCCACCTGGTATGTATTTCACATAATACCGACCTTTATGGTACCTCACTGGTTGCTCTTCCCACTTCTGTCATCTCCTCCCGGATAATCAGTCTTTGCTTTCAGTGCAACACAGTACGGTTGACGTGCAACACTTGACAGTTAAAATTTCCAAACAGATTCGACTTTATCACGGTCACTTTTCCTCTATAGTTTCCCTAGTACAGGTTAGGTTAGATTCGTTAGGAAACAGGACAAGTGTTTTGACAAGAGTCTTGTTTATATGATGACTCACAGCTGGAGCTTTTGGTCATCTGACCGAGACCTTCCACTGGCTTAACCCATCCATCCCTTCAAAAACTAGTTATAGTTGCATATAGTACGTGCAGTTATGTAATCTCTCTTATATCTTAATCTTCTCATTCCTAAGAATTAATAAAAAGCAGGTTGTGTGCTTTGTGACTCTCCCAACTTTTAGATTTTGTCACTAAAATTAGAAGTTTGTGTTTTGATTAGAATTTTCCGTAGCTTGTATTGTTTTCTTGACCAATATTGTCATTAAAACTTCAATGCTGCGCAACTGACTATACTTTGTTGTTATTGTCGAGTAAAACCTCCTTTAAAAATAACAGAGGGCTGTTCTAGGTAGACTATATCAGTATGGCATAAACGTTAGTAACAGGCCTGGTCATGGACCGGGCCGCGGGGGTGGCCAGGTCCATGTCCAGTCCTCCAGGTATAGAGACCGACAAATTGGTGCCTTAGTTGTAATTTTTTCATTCATTTGTTAGGGTATAATTTTCTTAAGAATATGCTTATCAAAACTACTTTTAAAATTTCCATTTTGTTTGCTTGCGCTTGTGCGCGTTTAAGGCACAATTTTCTGTGAAATAATACACTCTTGGCGTCAGCAGCGGATTACCTTACATCATTTTAGTGGCGTCTTCACCGGATTACATCGTTTTTGTGACGTCACCGGTGGATTACATCTTTTCTGCGACGTCAGAGAAGCACAAGAAATTCTCGATTATGTCTCATTACTTTAACAGTGTGAATATTTCAGAGATTTTTGATCATTTTTGTTTACTTATTTCGATATACATATAGTGTGTTAGCATTCGTAATTATTAATTTTTAATGAAGTGAGATTGAGACGACCAGAATACAGGATAACTGCCCACGTTAGTTGTCCAAGATAACGTTGGGTTAGGTTGACTCACAGCACAAAAGAGAGGAAGGTAAAACTAATCCATTAGTACGTTAGTGTACTTACCTGTCTGTTCCCCATATCAATACTTCCTTATCTGTACTCCTCTGTCAGTTGTTTCCTATCTGTACTCTCCTGTTAAACAATTTTTCGACGATATTAAAAAATTAATTGCTTTATTTTTTAGGTAATTGGTTACTTTCAGTTATTGTTATATCTTCTGACTGCAGAGCGTTTTAAAATACTTTATAAACAGGTTCCTATCTTTTCGTACCATAGCCTACCTGTATTTACAGCAGCGTATTGTTTCCGCCCACTACTTTTTTAGATTATAACTGCACTTTAATAATGCTGAAACTACAGAACAAATAGATAATTTCAAGTACACGGTGAGCAGTGTAGTGAGGGATATAACACATTTTCAATTCCTACGTTTTTATGTTGTCATAAGAGTTCAGTCTCGTCTAGATGTGGTCAATGGAAATTACCTTCTTTTTACGTTTTATTTTTGTCATTTATTTTAAGGTTTATCTAGTTCATTTATTTTCAGGTATTGTAAGTATTTTCTTTATGAGGTGTGCTGTTAATTACCATTCATGTGTAAAAAATTAGCTGGCTGTATATTAAGATGTCTAACAACCAAGTCAGTTTAAGAAATCGCCAGCAAAAACTACTTGTGCAAATTATTTGGTTGCAGTTGTTAGGTCATTGATATCCATGCACTGGAGAGGTCTCAGTATGATGATGTAGGAGACCATATTTATTTATGAAGCACGCGAGTCAGATCTTATTAGCTATATAGAGGGTATTTAACTAGAATCTGTTTCAGGCTAGGATAATATAGTACAAGTGACAGGAATGTGTTGTTACACCAGTGGAGATTATTTGGCATAAATGAGGAGAGGCTAGATACTATATCTTAGGCTTCAGGAATAATGAAGGGGTAAGTAATGAAGGGGAAAAATTTAGTACGAGCCAAAATAAGAAGTCGAAGGTAAGAAAAGATATGTAGAGATTTAAGAATATGAACTTAATGTTAGGAGGGCAGTACCTGTATGCAGTGGTGTGGCTTCTGCTGCCACTTCCGTGTGCTCACTGCTGAATCATCCACCGCTGTTCTGCGTCAACGGTTATCCTGTTAGTCTCCTTCACCAGTATATAACACCTGAGGTGTCACTGACACCGCCTCCTCACCAGCCAAGTCACAGCTAAAATAGCATAAGTTACAGCCAAGCTACAGTCACAACTATCTGAGGTACAGCAAGACACAGCTAAGATTTTCCGGGGTACAGCAAGACACAGCTAAGACACTCCGAGGTACAAGACACAGCTACGACTTTCGGGGTACAGCAAGGCAGCCAAGATGGTGGTACAGTTTAAGGTATTCAAGAAACCGGCTCCCAACGGCAAGTTAACCATCTACCTGGGCCGCAGGGACTTTGTTGACCACGTCTCCTCTGTGGACCCCGTTGGTGAGTCTCCTCCAGTTATTAACATTGCAGTTACAGAGAGTTAAATCCGTATGAGTGATTCAGCTCTGACAAGTCTTGTGTGGTCTCCCTCAAGTTTTATATATAATATATATATATATATATATATATATATATATATATATATATATATATATATATATATATATATATATATATATATATATATAATGTGTGTGTGTGTGTGTGTGCAAAACAACTACTGTGAAAGAATAATGAATAAGGAATTTCAGTATTCTTTCACAGTGGTTGTCTTGCATACTCTGAAATCACCTGTTTACTGTGATCTTATTGCATGTATATGTGTGTATATATATATATATATATATATATATATATATATATATATATATATATATATATATATATATATATGTATGTATATGTATTACTATAATATTGCTATATGCAGTGTAATAATTTTTTCTTATTCTTCTTGCACTGAATCCTAACTTAATTTTCCACAGGAATAATTTCGATGTAACTTTCTCAAGTATATTCTACGCTTGATATGCTTGCTCCTATAAGCTCTTAGTTTCATACAGTATATTTAGATTTGAAATGTGAAGTATGGTAAAATCTAAGATTCAATTTCGCATATACTCGTGAATGACGCTGCCCCGGGTCGTAGTATTATACATGACTTGACATGCAGATGGCGTGCTGGTGATCGATACCTCGTATCTACAAGGTCGCAAAGTATTCGGCCAGCTTGTGTGCAGCTTCAGGTATGGCCGCGAGGAAGATGAGGTCATGGGCCTCAGCTTCCAAAAGGACCTCTTTCTTGCCTCTGAACAGATTTATCCGCCCAAGGAAGTTCAGCCCACCAAACTGCAAGATCGACTCATGAAGAAACTGGGCCCCAACTCCTATCCGTTCACGTTCAAGATGCCCGAGAACGCGCCTCCCTCAGTCACCATCCAGCCAGGACGGGAGGACGAGGGTCGTCCTTGTGGTGTTGAGTACTACATCAAGGTGTTTGTCGGTGACACTGAAGAAGACCGCAGCCACAAGCGGTGAGTGACCTCGCTATACGCCAACATTACATTATCATGCCTAATCCAAGTTTTGTGTCTGAGTTTTGCCATTCTTGGCAGCTGCAGTCACAAATAAATATCAGATACATTTTTCTTTACAGTTCAATCAAATATGTAAAATTAGTTTCAAGTGTTTAAAATTTATTAGCATTTTTTCACAGAATAATAATACAATTTTCATAACATTATAACCATAAAAAAATACCCGACGCACTACACACATTGCACTTTAGGTCATTCCTTCTATTATACAAAATTTTTTGTAAAACTTTGATAATTTTTTTTCCATTCATAATGCAAGTACAATAGAAATAATATATACGTATGTATAAACTGCTAAAAATAAGAAGAAAAACTTGATAAAGCTGGGATATTTGCATGTGTGTGTGGATGTAGTGCAAATAAGGAAGATGATTGTCAATGTTATGATTGAAAAGAAGTTGGATGACCTGGCTCTAAGCGTAATAATGCTGAAAGTGGTCGGGGAGTTTCAGTGGGGAGAAATAAATGGAATTAAGCCAGGGGCATCTGAGAGGGTGCTAAGGAAGGTGTAGCAATAATGTTGAAGGATCATAAATGTATAAATTCAAGGATTATGTGGATTAAAATAAGGGTCGGATGCGAATAGTGGGTTATAATAGGTGTTTATGCACCTGGAGAAGAGAGGAATGTGTGAGAGTGTGTGAGAGTGTGTGAGAGTGTGTGGTGAGAGTGTGTGAGAGTTGTGAGAGTGTGTGAGAGTGTGTGAGAGTGTTGAGGTTTAGAGTGTGTGAGAGTGTGTGAGAGTGTGTGAGAGTGTGTGAGAGTGTAGTGTGTAGAGTGTGTGAGAGTGTGTGAGAGTGTGTGTGGAGAGTGTGTGAGAGTGTGTGAGAGTGTGTGAGAGTGTGTGAGAGTGTGTGAGAGTGTGTGAGAGTGTGTGAGAGTGTGTGAGAGTGTGTGAGAGTGTGTGAGAGTGTGTGAGTGTGTGATGTGTGAGAGTGTGTGAGTGTGTGTGAGAGTGTGTGAGAGTGTGTAGAGTGTGTGAGAGTGTGTGAGAGTGTGTGAGAGTGTGTGAGGTGTGTGAGAGTGTGTGAGAGTGTGTGAGAGTGTGTGAGAGTGTGTGAGAGTGTGTGAGAGTGTGTGAGTGTGAGAGTGTGTGAGAGTGTGTGAGAGTGTGTGAGAGTGTGTGAGAGTGTGTGGAGAGTGTGTGAGAGTGTGTGAGAGTGTGTGAGAGTGTGTGAGAGTGTGTGAGAGTGTGTGAGAGTGTGTGAGAGTGTGATGTGTGAGGTGTGTGAGAGTGTGTGAGAGTGTGTGAGAGTGTGTGAGAGTGTGTGAGGTGTGTGTGAGAGTGTTGTGAGTGTAGTGTGTGAGTGTGTGTGAGTGTGTGAGAGTGTGTGAGTGTGTGTAGAGTGTGTTGGAGTGTTGTGAGTGTGTGTGAGTGTGTGTGGTGTGTGTGTGAGAGTTGTGGTGGTTGTGAGTGTGTGTGAGTGTTGTAGGTGAGTGTAGTGTGTGAGGTGTGAAATGTGGAGATGTGTAAGGTGTTTTGTGTGTCAGAATGTGTTGAGTGTGACTGAATTGATTTAGCGAGTATTTAGGGTGTTTTGAACCAAATGAGAGAGCAATTGTGGTAGGGTACTTAAATGTAAAGGTGAGAGTAACGGTTATAGAGGGCGTGGTAGGTAAGTTTTTGGTGCCGGGGGTAAATGATATTGAAGGTTTTTTATTGAATTTATTATAGAAAAGTTTGGTAATAGGTAATAAATAAAAAAAAAGAGGAATAAATAAGTATACAAGATATAAGGCGTAATGACAGTTCGTTGGACTATGTATTGGTGGATGAAACGGATGATGGGTAGACTTCAGGATGTGCACGTTTATAGAGGGGCAACAGACATGTCAGATCATTTTTTAGTTGTAGCTACAGTGATAGTAAAAGGTAGATGGGATACAAGGAGAATGGTATCACATCACAAAATAATTATGTGAAGGTTTATAAACTGGAGGAGGAGGTAGTTAGGGTAAGATATAAGCAACTATTGGCAGAAAGATGGGCTGGCGAGAGCATAGGCAATGAGGCAGAAGAGGTATGGGGTAGATTTAAAAATACAGTGCAAGTGTCCAGCATAAGTTTGTGGATATAACTGGGTGGGTGCAGGAGGGAAGAGGAGCGATTGGTGGAATAATGAGGTAAAGAGAAAAAGTTAGCATTAGTGGTTTTTACAAAGTAGTGATATAAGAAGGGAAGAATATATGGAGAGAAAAAGAGGTTGAGAAACCAGGGAAGGAATGTAAAAGGAAAACTTATAGTGGGTGGGATGCTGTCAACAAATTTTGTTGAGAATAAGGACAAATTTTGGAGTGAGATTAATAAGTTGAGAAAGCCTAGGGAACGAATGGATTTGACAGTTAAAAATAGGTGAGGAGAGTTAGAGGTATTGGGAAGATGGAGGGAATATTTTGAGGAATTGTTAAATATTGATGAAGATAGGGAAACTGCTTCCGTGTATTGGGAAGGGAGGTATAACATCTTGTAGGAGTGAGAGTTATATGTGAGTGCGGGAGAAGTGTATGACACAGTGGATAAAATGAAAGAGGGGTAAAGCCGCTGGGATTGATGGGATCAAGACAGAAATTTTCAAAGCAGGTGGGGATATAGTTTTGGAATTGTTGTTGCTTTTATTTAATGAATGTATGAAAGAGGGAAAGGTATTTAGCGACCGGCAGAGAGCAAGCATAGTTCTTTTATATGCACAAGGAATGAGAGTGAAAAAATTGTAGGGAAATAAGCCTGTTGAGTATACCTGGTAAGATGTATGGTAGTTATTATTGAAAGAATTAACAGTAAGACGGAGAGCAAGATTGCAGATGAACAAGGAGGCTTTAGGAAGGATGTGCAGACCAAGTGTTTATAGTGAGGCATGTAACTGAACACTAGATAAGGGTAAAGAGGTTCTCGTTGCTTTATGGATTTGGAAAAGGCATATGATAATGTGGATAGGGAAGCGATGTGGCAGATGCTGCAAGTGATAGGTGGTAGGTAATTGAAAGCAGTTAAGTTTTTATGAGGATATTGAGGCTCAGGTTATATTACGTAGAAAAAGGGAGATTATTTCCCAATAAAAGTAGGCCTTAGAAAGGGATGTGTAATGTCGCCATTGATGTTCAATATACTTATAGATGGAGTTGTAAAAGAAGTGAATACTCGGGTGTTGGGAAGAGGTGTGGGATTATAAGATAATCAAACAAAATGGGAGTTGTCACAGTTGATTTTTGCGGAAGATACTGTGCTTTTGGGAGATTTTGAAGAGAAGTTGCAGAGGTTGGTGGACGAGTCTGGGAGGGTATGTAAAAGAAGGAAATTAAAAGTGAACATAGGAAAGAGCAAGATAATGAGGATAACAAAAAAAAAGATAATGATGGATTAGATATTAGACTGGAGGGAATATGGAGGAAGTGAATGTGTTCAGATATTTGGAAGGTTAGGTTAGGTTCGTCAGTAAACAGGACAAGCGATTCCTGATGCGGGTCTTAGTCAGATGATGACCCGCCATTGGAGCTTTTGGTCATCTGACTGAGGCCTTCTGCTGGCTTACTGGTTCACCCCTTTAAAAATTAAGGCTTTAAGTAGATTAGATATTTGGGAGTGGACTTGTCAGCAGATGAGTCTGAAAAACGAGTTGAATCATAGAACTGATGAGGGGGGGGGGAAATGAATGGTGCACTGAGGAGTCTGTGGAGACAAAGAACGTTATCCATGGAAGTAGATAGGGAAATGTATGAGAGTATGGTAGTACCAGTGCTCTTTTATGGGTATGAATTATATGTGGTGAATGTTGCAACAAGAAGGCTGGAGGCAATTGAAATGTCGTGTCTGAGGGCAACGTGCAGCGTGAACATGAAGCAGAGAATCCGTAGCTGAGAGATTAGAACGAGGTGCTGGGTTTCTAAAAGTATTATCCAGAGGACTGAGGAGGGGCTTTGAAGCAATTCGGACATTTAGAGAGGATGACAGAGGATGACAGGGCATTTAAATCTCTAGTAGGCAGGGTAGGGGTCGTCTTATGAAAGGATGGAGAAAGGAGGCATAGGAGGTTTTCTGTGCAAGGGTCTTAGACTTTCAGCAAGTGTGCGTGAGCGCGTTAGATAGTAGCGAGTGGAGGCAAGTGGTTTTTATGACTTGACGTGCTGTTGGAATGCTAGCACAGTAATATTTATGAAGGGATTCAGGGAAGCTGGTTAGCCAGACTTGAGTTCTGGAGGCGGGAAGTACAGTGCCTGCGCTCTGAAAGGGGGGGGGGGGAGAGACGGAAATGCTGCTGTTTTTGAACCAGTGTAGACACGTCTCTGACAAGATAGTGATGATGATGATGAGTGATGATGATAGTGATGATGAAGATAGTGATGATGATGAGTGATGAAAGTGTTTCTTCTTTTTTTGGGTCACCTACCTCAGTGGGAAACGGCCGAACACACACACACACACACACACACACACACATACACACACACACGCGCGCGCGCGCACACGCACACGCACACACGCACACGCGCACACACACACACACACACACACGCGCATGCGCGCGCGCACATATGTATGCATGCTCGTATGTGTTCACTGAGTGTTTTATGTCATCAGGTCTACGATCACACTCAATATTCGTCGCATTCAGTTCGCTCCCAGCAAGACTGGCCGGCAGCCATGCACCATCGTCAGGAAGGACTTCCTGATGAGCCCTGGGGAGCTGGAGCTGGAGGTGACTCTGGACAAGCAGCTCTACTACCATAATGACAAAATTGCCATCAACATGATTGTAAACAATCATAGCAACAAGACGGTGAAGAAGATCAAGGCCGCTGTCCAGCAGTCCGTCGATATCTGTCTCTTCTCCGGCGGTCAGTACCGTAGTACCGTCGCCAGCGTCGAGACCCAGTGAGTGCCGCTGCTTTCACTGTATCCGCATACAACTATATAGTATATTATGCAATAATCGCGAACAAGCGATACAAGATGGAAAAAAATTACGGAGTGAGTTCAATGATATTTTGTGTTGCAATCAACAAATCAGAAGCTTGCAATGTTTCAGAAATGAGTAGGAAGTCCAAGTAGATCCGTTCAAGGGAACGACTCTAGTTAGTCGTTCACTTGAAGGTAATACCTGGACTTTCTACTCGTTTCTGCGATATTGGAAATACTTGATGTGTTGATTACAACACGAAAGGCCTAGAGCTATCATTTAACTCCATATGTAAATATATATATATATATATATAAATATATATATATATAAATATATATAAATTATAAATATAAATAATATATATATATATTATATATATATATATATATATATATATATATATATATATATATATATATATATAGATATATATGAGAGAGAGAAATTTCTATTATTAAAACTTAAGGAGTGACGAGACATTATCAGTCATTAAGTCTGAAGTTTATACCAATATCCCGAAATTTTATGATCTAAGTAACAAATTACCTTACGAAGACTTGAATACTTTTTAAATATAGCTACAAGTGACCATTATTTATTAATCCACTCTGTTGTGGTCTACAGAGAAGGGTGCCCAGTGAATCCCGGGTCTTCCCTGCAGAAGGTGGTCTACCTCACACCGACACTCAGTAGTAACATGGACCGTCGGGGTATAGCGCTCGATGGTCACCTCAAGAACATTCACACCAACCTCGCCTCCTCCACCCTGTGAGCAACATTTATCTGTTACCCTTTTATTCATAACTCCACTTAGAAAGAACGTTGATTTTATGCTGTACTTTAGATGGTGGAAAAAACGTGATGAACTAGCTAGGTTCTCTTTCTGTTCTGTATTCGAAACATGTCTTGGTAATGCTTTCTTTTCTGCATTTGTGCTGTTTTGAATTATTCAACTCTATTACTCGAATCCAGTCTACAGTAGCATATACTTTGATGCCGATGTGAATCCATACAGTACCCAAGACAACATTTGTCCTTCTGTCGTAGATCAGCTCATTGATCACATTTGTGTTCGTTTGAATTTATTTAGGATTTTGTTTTGCTGGTTATAATCATCCACCCACATTGTGATATTAGTATTCATTTGTTTCTAATTCCCTCTGCCTTGATTTTATCAACCCACAAATCTTGATGTGAATGTCAGATGAATTTACTTGATGCGTTGGTCTAAATTATTTTTTGTTCTAAGACTACTAGTGGACAGTACCAAGGTATAATCAACTCCCTTCTTGACAGCTAATGCGGGAGGGAATTCACGTATGTTTTTTGACTTCTGATAAAAGCATGTTATATGTTCATGTGATGAGAGCGTGTTGGTTTTAGCATAATTCATACTACCATTCTGAATACCTTGTTCACGTCTGTCCTCTATATGCCCCACTTGACACACTCTACTCTTTACTGTATTATGGATCCCTCTTTGACACCCTGGCGCCTACCGCCTCTCGGATCAACTTCACACCCCCGACACTTTGTACATCATGGGTCTCCCATGATACCCCCAGACGCCCTCAACGCCCACTGGGGGTCTCCCATGATAACCCCAGACGCCCTCAACGCCCACTGGACGTTCACTAATTGCTATGGTTGCCCCCTCAGACTAGCCAACCCTGAATCTCGGGACATGTTCGGGATGGTGATCTCGTACATTGTGAAGGTGAAACTGTACCTCGGGGCCATGGGTGGTGAAGTGACAGCTGAACTGCCCTTCGTGCTCATGCACCCTAAGGTAAGTCACACCCTTAATACACACCCTTTATTCGCTCCCTTATCCACCCTAAAGGACTCCACGATCTTCTCTTCATGTATCCCAAGTTACTTCATTCCCTTTACTCGATATAGTCCAAGGTAAATACTTTAAATGCGTCCCTTATTGCTTCCCCACCGGTATACAGACAAGAATGTATCACGTAAATACTTCATGTGCTAGATGTACACGTTGTAATTACGCCTCGCCAACAAATTCTAATAAATGCGTCAAAAAATAATGAACGGTTGTCAAAGTTTCTGGATTTCCTCGCCTTACTCCCAGTCCCCTCTAACATGGTTTAAAGAGCCAAGATCCTTCTATGTGCGAGTTATTTGTGAACAGTTTCCTCTAATCGAGGAAACTGTTCACAGATAACTCGCACATAGAAGGAAACTTATGCCGACTTTTCGGCCTGAAACGTCGTCATAAGTTTCATTCTGTGTGCTGGTTGTTTGTGTATTGTTCCAGTCATAGTATTGTGCCTGTTTATTATTCAAGGTAACTGTTATTGCTGAGGGAATCTCCTGTAGGAAAACTTAGAACTGACCGAGATTCTCATTGTAGGCAGCTACGGTCTAGTGATAACAGTAGCAGGACCAAGCTTGGTCCACTGATACCGTATTTTCCCGCATATAAGGCGCACGACAGAAATACACAACGGCAATTCATTAATTATATTCAAGTGTTAATTACCCTCTTACTTTACGCTAAAGTGTAACCCTTAACCCTGACCTTGAGCATATAAGGCGCAGGGTAATTTTCCAAGACTCTTTTTGATGGGAGACAAGGCGCGCCTGGTATGCTGGAAAATACGGCAAGTGATGGGCTAACTGTAGGCAGACAGGGGGCTCAGGGGGCTTAGTCCACTCCTAGTAATAGCAAAATTTGTAAAGTGCAACATCACTACGTAGATATTTACTGAATAATATTACTAGCATTTATGGGGAAGCTGTAAACCCGCTGAGGTCAAATAACGTCTGGGAAGTAGGAGGCAGTTAGGTTTAGTCAAGGAAGGAGAGGGTAACTCCAATTATTTGGATCAAGAGCCCTTCACTAGAATAAAGATACATCCACTCCTCCTTGAAGGGTAGACTAATATAATTATCCAGCAGGTCTTCATACTTGACCAAAGTTTGTATTTATGATCTTGGTCTAATAAGTTGCCTCGACAGCCTGACCTCCGCCGGATGATGCGAGCTGACAGCCAGGCGCAGGTGGAGGCCTTCCGCTCTGAGAGTATGGCTCAGTCTGTCGACATGGACTAGACAACCTTAGCCTCAGCCTCGCCAGCGACAGGAGGCTCCCGGCTGCGGCAGGAGGCTCCCGGCTGCGACAGGAGGCTCCCGGCTGCGACAGGAGGCTCCCGGCTGCGACAGGAGGCTCCCGGCTGCGACAGGAGGCTCCCGGCTGCGACAGGAGGCTCCCGGCTGCGACAGGAGGCTCCCGGCTGCGACAGCTTTCAGCTGAGCACTATGTTGGATACAAAGTTACAATCTAGAAGTAGAAAACATGAAACACTTTAAGCTGATATGGATTCATGGCCCTAACAGTGCTCAGCTTTGTCCCAGGGTAGACTCGTGTAGCCGGTGACAGCTTCCAGGAGACAAAGCTGCCGGTCAGCTAACTTAGCTTTATACAAGACCTGTGTGCACTCGTTAAGTGCTCATGGGCTCAAAAATTCACAGCAGTTTTGAAGTGCGCCATGTTATCCACTTCTGACTTTTTCCTTTGCATCTAACGGGGAGCTCAGTTTCGGTATAAAATTTTTTGAGCTTTCATAATCATTTTGTTTATATTTACTAGTGAGCTCTGTATTAAAAATCCAGATGCTATTAATATGAGCCTATCACATTAAAAAAAAACTGGAAAATGGAGGCAATGATTAAGAATTTTAAGAAGAACGTCCGGAACCCCTCTAGTCTACCGTCTCATTTAATGCATGTAAACAAACCATCGAGTACTCTTAGAATTCAAAAGAAAGTATAAAATGTTATATATTTAATCATAATAAAATATAACCGTAATGAAATTTAAATTGTATTTAGCCGACATATTAATTGCTGTATTCAGTTCCCAGTATTAATTTTCCAGCCTGTAGAAATTGACCACCTTATAACGCATCGTTGTGGAGTGATTTGTTCTTTCTTTTGAAAAAAAGTGTCTACATAGAAAAATATATATGAATCAAAATCTGGTGAACGAATGTTCAATAATAAGTATTAGATAAGATTTCCCGTGAGATTCAAACGTTCACGAGTGTTAAAATTGATTTCTTGTGAAACTCGGGTTCGCAATTGTCAAGGCTATTTTCTGTGATATTTTACTAGATAGATAAAGCAGCCATCGGAACTGTTGTTAAGTGATGTGTGAGAGGGAGAGCGGAAGTGGACTCTGCCTCCCTCAGGAGTACAGGACCATTGACGTCAAACACCAAGCACTAACCTAAGGTTTAGACACACCATTGAAGTATTGCTACTAGAAAACTATTCTCAGGTGATGATTTATTAAGAAATTATTAATTGTTACCCGGCATTCTCATATCTGGGGGGTCAGTGACGCCAACCAGGAATTACTAAAATTATCAAAGTCGGAACACCATGGAAGAAATGAAGTTTGAGTTTTTTTTTTTTGGGGGGGGGGAGGGGAGGGGAGGGGAGGGGAGGGGACAGGACAGGACAGTGACAGTCGTCAGTTTTGACTCTAAAACTGTGAGAAGCGATGAGTCTCGAGTTGTCTGTTTTTTATTCGGTTATTGCTTAATCTCCGTATAATGTGATAGTTGGAATAAATTATTTATTAAGGTATTGGAATTATATATCTTAAATAAATGTTCTCCGAAATAGAATGTCTTATATTGGTAATAAATAAATCAGCAGTTACATGTGGTCTATTATTTTTGTCATCTTTGTAAAAGGAAGATATTACGTGATTCATAATATATCATGTATTATCTAGAGGTAAGAACTCTCAACTAGTTTAAACAGCCAGTCAAGAACATGGATGTTGGTTCTGGCAAGTACGAGAGTCCCTGGAGTCCCTTTCCTAAACCCATGTTGCCCTGGGATGTGCAACAGATGGGTATCCAAGAGGGTGGTGATTTGGCTTCTTAGAACCCTTTCAAAGATTTTTATAATGTGGGACGTTAGTGCTATCGGTCTGTAATTCCTTGCAATTGCTTTACTGCCACCTTTGTGGAGTGAGGCTTTATCTGTTTTAACTGTGGGATGACCCCTGTGTTCATGTTCCCTCTCCATAGAATATTTATCCATTCATCTCAATGCAAAATGTGGATAGTTTCAAGATTTCGGATATCTTATCATTAATAATAATTCTAATATTTATTTCTACAAGTAATGTGAAAGTATACAGACCTAGCTGACATCATTGACTTACTATATAGAAAGCCCCTTGTTATACACAGCATTTCAGCCAAACTAGGTTATTATTTTCCTCCGAGAAGCGACCCATACCAGTCTACTAACACCCAAGTACTTGCTCTTGGGTGAACAGAGACACTAGGTGTGTTAAGGAAACACGCCTTAATTTCCACCCGTACCGAGGATCGAACCACGGACCTTACTGTGTGAGCAGAGTGCGCTACCAACCGAGCTGGCAACCGTTGCTCGATTGCTAGTGCACTCAACTTTCACCCTGAGGTCCGGGAGTCGATCCCTGATACAAGTGGAAACATTAGGCACCTGCTGTTCATGTTCACCTATCAGTAAAACAGATATCTGGGTGTAAGTAGACTCGTGTGGGTTGCATCCTGGGGACAAAATTTGACCTGATTTCCCCGAAATCCTCTGCATAACAAGGGACTTTCTATATAATAGTGTCAGTGATGTCAGCTAGGCCTGTATACCTTGAACATGTACTTGCAGAAATAAAAATCATTATTTTTAATATTTTTATTATGGAAATGTGTCTGAAAGTAGTAGGATACTCCCAGGTAAGACTCATGTGGGTGATGAGATTTGGATAGTGGAAGAAAAGTGGGGAACAGGAAAGACAGACTGAGGGAAAGTGCCGGAGCAAGACAGAGCAGCATGGCGTTGTTTAGCCAGAGTAGAGGAAGTGTTACTGGCTGTGCTGACTGTATGATTGCTACTGCAGAGCTGGTCTGGATTCGGGAGGCAAGAAGACTGGCAATAAGTGTCGCCTATGTGTCATACGCAAGGTTAGCTGTTTTCTGTTTCTCAATGCCATTTTTTAGATGGAGAGGTAATATGGAAGGTTGGCTGAAAAAAACGGGTGTCTTCAAGGTGCACCCCTGCAGAGGGCAGGGCAGAAAGTTGAGATTAGAGGTTAGGTATATATATAGAGGAAGAGGAGGAGGACCAGGCTTACATATAGATTGGGAAAAGGTTTAGTCTAGATAAGTTCTCCATGAGTTTTGGTGGGTTTCTAGTCGGTCAGTCTGTTATTGAGCTCTTTCCAGAGAACGTTCAGCGCCGGGGTGCCAGTCCTGGTGAGTAGACTCACTTGTGGCAAAGTCGCTCCACAGGTGGTGTGCATGTGACAAGTGGCCGTATAAGGGCCTTGCACAGGTGTTTAGTTCGTGGGTGTGAGCCTTTGAGCAAGCTTGTACACTCGCCCAAAGGTAGTACTAGCCATAGCTCTCTTGGCACTGATGTGGGTGTGGAGTCTGAGACTGGAGTCAAGGTTAACTTTAAGGACAGTGGAGCTTCGTGTTCGTGGAATGGGTGTTCTTGTAGTAGTGGTTCTGAGTTCGACAGGTAGTGGTGGGCGTTCTTTTGGGAAGAGGTATGTTATTTTGGACTTATTGGCTCTAGTTTTAATACTCCAAAGTATCTCCCAGGTAATCCTGTCGACCTCGCGTTGTGTTCTGAGCAATAGGTATCTGTAGTTTTCGTGTACGGTGAGTTGGGTGATGTCATCTGCATATGCTAGTGTAAGTGTGTTTTGGTGTTCAGGGTCTGATATGTCGTTTGTGTAAAGGGTGTACAGAGTAGGAGAGTACTGAGCCTTGGGGTACTCCTGCATGAAGGGTGAAGGAGTCGGAGAGATAGTTTTGGAACTTAATTCGCATCGTACGGCCATCAAGGAAGTTGCATAGTAACTTTTTGACATTGGCAGGAAGGTCAAAAAGGTTACATAGCTTGTATTTCAGCCCTGCATGCCAGACCGTGTCGAATGCTTTCTCCACGACCTTAGCAACCAGGGCTGTTGAGCTTATTGATATGAATGTAGTTCAGAATGATATTGAGAGCTGCTTGCGTCGAGCGTTGTTGGCAGAAGCCAAACTGTCGGTCATTCAGGTGGTGATTTGTCTCTAGGTGAGTCCTTAGTCTTGTGTTAATTATTCATTCAAAAGTCTTTCCGAGGGTTTCTAGTAGACTGATAGGTTTATAATTTCTCGGCTCAGTCGGGTCCTTGTGAGGTTTAGGGATAAGCGTGACAGAAGCAGATATGAACAGGGGAGGGAAGTAACAAGCAAGGTAGGCATTGTATAGGTCAGTAAGGGCAGAAATAACAGTCTGGAAGGTGCCGGAGAATATGAGGAGAGAGTCCAGATGTACCAGGTGCTTTGGGGGGAAGATGTAGATTTAGGGACTTTACAAGAGGCAGAGAGAAAGGGGTGTTGAGGTGGATGGAGGTGAGAGAAGCGAGATGTATGATAGGGGTCAGGAGAGGTAATGTCAGTGTGTAGTGACCCCTTGTTTAATGTCTTGTGCATGTTGTTGTGCGGCTGGGTCTGGAGGGTGAGGGTGGGAAATATTTCCCCATATGTCTTTGAATGCATGTGTAGCTTGTGCTGGCTCTGTAATATTTGTGTTGTGTGTTGGAAGTGTTGTTTTTGGGAATCCAGTGACCTTCTGAATAAAGTAACAGAATTTTCTGGGGTCCCGTATGCGGTGTGTCTCCGGAGCGTGTATGAGGGATAGCAAGTGTCTCCCATGGTCCTCGTCCAAGCTGCGGATGTTTCTCAAAGTGAGGTCACGCATGGTGTGTGTGTGTGTGTGTGTGTGTGTGTGTGTGTGTGTGTGTGTGTGTGTGTGTACTCACCTAGTTGTACCCACCTAGTTGAGGTTGAAGGGGTCGAGTCCAAGCTCCTGGCCCCGCCTCTTCACTGGTCGCTACTAGGTCACTCTCCCTGAACCTTGAGCTTTATCATACCTGTGTACTCACCTAATTGCACTCACCTAATTGTGGTTGCAGGGGTCGAGACTCCGCTCCTGGCCCCGCCTCTTCACTGATCGCTACTGGGTCCTCTCTCTGCTTCCTGAGCTTTGTCATACCTCTTCTTAAAACTATGTATGGTTCCTGCCTCCACTACTTCACTTGCTAGGCTGTTCCACTTGCTGACAACTCTATGACTGAAGAAATACTTCCTAACGTCCCTGTGACTCGTCTGAGTCTTCAGCTTCCAGTTGTGACCCCTTGTCCCCGTGTCCCCTCTCTGGAACATCCTATCTCTGTCCACCCTGTCTATTCCCCGCAGTATCTTGTATGTCGTTATCATGTCTCCCCTGACCCTTCTGTCCTCCAGTGTCGTCAGTCCGATTTCCCTTAACCTTTCCTCGTACGACATTCCCTTGAGCTCTGGGACTAGCCTTGTTGCAAACCTTTGTACTTTCTCTAACTTCCTGACGTGCTTGACCAGGTGTGGGTTCCAGACTGGTGCTGCATACTCCAGTATGGGCCTAACATACACAGTGTACAGTGTCTTGAACGATTCCTTATTAAGGTATCGGAACACTATTCTCAGGTTTGCCAGGCGCCCGTATGCTGCAGCGGTTATTTAGTTGATGTGTGCCTCCGGTGATGTGCTCGGTGTGATGGTCACCCCAAGGTCTTTCTCCCTGAGTGAGGTCTGTCCACCTAGCCTATACTCTGTCTGCGATCTTTGCCCCTCCCCAATCTTCATGACTTTGCATTTGGCTGGATTGAATTCGAGAAGCCAGTTACTGGACCACATGTCCAGCCTGTCCAGGTCTCTTTGCAGTCCTGCCTCATCCTCGTCCGATTTAATTCTTCTCATCAACTTCGTCATCTGCGAACAGGGACACTTCAGAGTCTATTCCTTCCATCATGTCGTTCACATATATCAAAAATAGCACTGGTCCTAGAACTGACCCCTGTGGGACCCCGCTCGTAACAGGCGCCCACTGTGATACCTCTTCACGTACCATGACTCGTTGCTGCCTCCCTGTCAGGTATTCCCTTATCCATTGCAGTGCCCTCCCTTTTACATGTGCCTGATCCTCCAGCTTCTGCACTAATCTCTTGTGGGGAACTGTGTCAAAGGCCTTCCTGCAGTCTAGGAAAACGCAATCTACCCACCCCTCTCTCTCGTGTATTACTTCTGTTACCTTGTCATAAAACTCCAGGAGGTTTGTGACACAAGATTTGCCTTCCATGAACCCATGCTGGTTTTCATTTATAATCTTGTTCCTTTCCAGGTGTTCGACCGCTCTCCTCCTGATAATCTTCTCCATGACTTTGCACACAATACATGTCAGAGACACAGGTCTGTAGTTTAGTGCCTCGTTTCTGTTTCCTTTCTTAAATATGGGGACTACATTAGCTGTCTTCCATTTCTCAGGTAGTTGCCCAGTTTCAAGGGATGTGTTGAAGATTGTGGTTAGAGGCACGCACAGCATCTCTGCTCCTTCTCTAAGGACCCATGGGGAGATGTTGTCCGGTCCCATTGCCTCTGAGGTGTCAAGGTCACTTAAGAGCTTCTTCACCTCCTCCTCAGTTGTTCGTATGTCACCCAACACTTGTTGGTATATTCCCTCTTGATGTTCCCTTCTGTGCTGTCTTCCCACAGCCCTTCCTGTCTCTACTGTAAAAACTTCCTTAAATCTCCTGTTCAGCTCCTCACATACCTCCTGATCATTTCTTGTGAGTTCTCCACCTTCTGTCCTTAATCTGATCACCTGGTCTTTGACTGTTGTCTTCCTCCTGATGTGGCTATACAACAGTTTCGGGTCAGTCTTGATTCTCGATGCTATGTCATTTTCATACTGTCGCTGGACCTCCCTCCTTACCTGTGCGTACTCATTCCTGGCTCAGCGACTGATCTCCCTATTTTCGTGTGTTCTCTGCCTTCTGTACTTTTTCCATTCTCTATTGCACTTTGTTTTTGCCTCCTTACACCGTCGGGTAAACCAGGGGCCCGTTCTGGTCTTCCCGTTGTTACTGTTGCCCTTGGGAATAAACCTTTCCACTGCCTCCTTCCATTTTGTTGTTACATATTCCATCATTTCATTTACTGGCTTTCCTGTCAGTTCTCTGTCCCACTGGACCTCCTGCAGGAAGTTCTTCAACCCTATGTAGTCCCCTCTTTTATAGTCAGGCTTTTCCCATTCAACTCCTGTTATTCTCTCCACTTGCAGCTCTACTATGTATTCAAAGCACTGTGTGTGTGTGTGTGTGTGTGTGTGTGTAGGATGGAGCGGTGACGGTAGCAGAGGCGCTTCGTCCTTTCAGACGGGCAGAAAGAATATCTGACAGGTGGTGTTTCAAAGCGTTTCAGTTTGCAAGAAAGTATGAAGGAATTTGTCTGGTGGGGATAAGAATGGGGTTAGATGAGATGTGATGGGTATGTGGTCAAAGCCAGAGAGACGGCCTGGTGTAGTATGGTGGCGAATTAAAGGCTGACTCTGTTTGTGATGATGTCAGGTTTGCCCTGGCCTGTGGGGCCAAAGAAGGTGTTGAAGTGAGGGCCAAGATGTATTAGGTGTTTTTGTGTAACTAGTTGTAGTTGATTCCCGTGTGCGTTTGTGTAGGTGTAATGAAAGGCTGTGTTTTGCATTTAAGTCTGCAAGAAGATAAACAGGTAAGGAGGATTAAATCACGAATGTTTGTTGGAATTAAGCCGAGCATAGACAATGTACATGGAAAGTCCGTGGAGTGTGAAGACTTCTATAACCATGCTGTGAGGACAGGTGAAAGGAATGTTTAGAAAAACCTGTCGAATAGTGCTGTTCACCATAATGACAGTGCCATTATAGGGATCAGCACTAAACTTGCGCGTAGTGTAGCCAATGTCTCATTCTCTGAATGCTTTACACACACGTGCTGTTTAATAACAGCACATCTGGGTGTTCAACCTCAATGGATTCAGCCAGGGTGTGTTTGTTCATGTTGTAGCTGCGTATGTTAATTAAACTGTGAGTGGTACTGCAAAAAAAAAAAAAAAAAAAAAAATACAGATGTCACAATGGGTCTCTGTCGGCCCCACTGAGTATGAAGATGTATTGTTCCAGTGTATGACACTGTGTCTGTATTTGTTGGCAGGGCCTCGGCTGTAAATCAGATTTACAGCCGGGGCCCGGCTTTAAATATCTGAAGGGGCACCATAACCATAGACGTTTTATTTTTATTTTGTAATTTTTTTTTTTTTTGGGGGGGGGGGGGTTATTTCAACTATTTTTTTTAGTTTATGTAGAGTTGTGTAAAATTAACATAGCTTGCCCCCAGGCCCCCCAAGCAGTCTTGTTCCTCCTTGCAAAATTTCTGTTGGAGGCCCTGTTTCTTGACACTGACATCCCTGTATAAATCACACTACGGGAGATACACATAGCCTAGCTAAGTCATTAGTAACATCATCTTGCAGCTACTTTTTATGATGGATAAGTGATCTGCTAGTTCTTATTTGTACTGTTCTACTTTCTTCAGTCTAGTTTGGTAGTTATTTCCTGACAATGCATGTTTTAAAATTATATTTGTGAAACCAATGGAAATAAGTCACTTTGACTTTCCGGGTTATCCTAGGTAATTTACACTCATTGTACTTAGGTGTACCTGTATCTAAATAAACCTAATTACCTATTCGACAGTTTCTGTATTTAATTCCTTCTTAAATAACATATCAGTGGATAACTAAAGTATAATGAATACTTATCAATGCTCAATAATAACCCATATGTCTCCATGTGGGTTACCAAGATACCAACTTCATCTTGCTTCTGGATGACTAGGTGGTTTCCACCCCGGCGTCCACCACCACATCGCAGGACATACCACATTGTCATCACGGCCACCATCAATTTTAATAAACGTTAAACCCCGTTTTTTTGAGAGACTGAGAAGGCACAAAGACATTCAATATGCCTAAATTAGATCAATATTACGTAACGATCAAGTGGTTACATGGTTGGGTTCACACGGTCCCGGGACCATCACAGCCCTTCAACCCAACATCATCATCTCTCTCTCTCTGTGCCTGAGGTCACGACGACAGTTGTTAACGACTAAATCTGCTGCTAATCAAGTGTGCCATGGCTTCAAGAAGGTCTCTACACTTCGTCTACAAGATAGGCGACAGGACTGCCACAGCCAAGTTTTACAGAGACATTCTTGGGATGAAGGTGAGGGATAAACATGAGTGGGTCACCTGTCGTGAGGCCTCAGATCACCGCCCTTCAAGGAGGGGCTTTGATGCTGGTGTAGGGTTCTTGGTCCAAGGAATTAGAGTTGCCCTTATTTGACTAGGTGCTTTGTGACCCACTAAGAGTTCAGTTTTTACCCCATGATTATAATTGGCACCCGTCGTGAAGGGTGACACATGAAGCACCCGTCGTAAGTACCCTTCGCTGGTGGATCACCTGTCATGAGGGGCCCCCTCATGAATTTCCTGTCATGAAGGCCTCCTCATGGATTACGTGTCATGAGGGGCCCTCGTGTATTTCTTGTCATAAGGGGGCTGCTCTCATGGATAACCTGTCATGAGAGGGGCCCCTCATGGATAACCTGTCATGAGAGGGGCCCCTCATGGATAACCTGTCATGAGAGGGGCCCCTCATGGATAACCTGTCATGAGAGGGGCCCCTCATGGATAACCTGTCATGAGAGGGGCCCCTCATGGATAACCTGTCATGAGAGGGGCCCCTCATGGATAACCTGTCATGAGAGGGGCCCCTCATGGATAACCTGTCATGAGAGGGGCCCCTCATGGATAACCTGTCATGAGAGGGGCCCCTCATGGATAACCTCCCCTCAAGGAAGGTTCCTTGATGTTGGTGAGGGGCTCTTGATTTAGGGAATTGGATCTGTGCTCCAGTTCCCTGAATTAAGCCTGAATGCCTTCCACATCCCCCCCCAGGCGCTGTATAATCCTCCGGGTTTAGCGCTTCCCCCTTGATTATAATAATAATAATCATGGATAACCTGTCATGAGAGGGGCCTCTCTCATGGATAACCTGTCGTGAGGGGCCTCTCATGGTTAACCTGAAATGAGGGGGCCCCCCATAATGGATAACCTGAAATGGGGGGCCCAGCATGGATAACCTGAAATGGGGGGGCCCAGCATGGATAACCTGAAATGGGGGGCCCAGCATGGATAACCTGAAATGAGGGGAGGCCCCCCATACGAATCACCTGTTGAGGGCTGCATGGATCAGTCATTATGAGGGAGGGGCCCCTTATTTGTCTTTGAGGACTGTCAGGTCATGATTAGTAAGTTAATTTATTCAAGTATGGATACACACAAATACAGTTACATAAATTGTCATACATTGCAGCATATGTGTAGTATACTTAGGATAACCCCAAAAAAAGTCAGCGACTTATTTTCATTGGGATCCTTGACATTCAAAAATCTTGTAAATGAATGTCCTATATATCAGAGTGCACAGATTTTGCTCTTGACATATTCAGTGCCTTGTCACCTCATTCTAGCTGCCCTCATCTGAAAGTTCCATCCTTTATGTAGACTCAATAACATTTTAACTGAGACTGACCTAGTGCACTAATTATAGATGACTTTCCCTCTTAACACTTTTGCTACTTCTCCTTGCCTTTTCAATGTAAGTACTCTTCTATATATTTTAGCACTGTAATTCATGGGAGATTTGGTGCTTTTTAATGATTACTATAATATTCATAAAGTATCTAATGCATTGTAACCCTGAAACTTATTTGTTACTGTAATTATTTTTTGCTTATAAGCCATATAAATTAATTGAATCAGGCATACATTTGAGTTGATTATAATGTATTTTAAATTTGATGTTATGTTGTATCAAATTACATTTATTATAATAAGGCTTGAAAGAAAGCCACTGATTCAAATGCATTTCAGGCAGACTAATCATAAAGCTTACTACCTAGGTACTACTGTCTAGATACTTTAACATGTACATACAGTATACATAATTGAACACTGAAAACTGATAACATTGCACTTGTCATATGTATTAATATTATGCAACCTTGAGGTATTGTATGCAGTATACTAAAAAACATGACCATATACACCTACCATCCGACTTACGACCTGCTCGATTTACGACCACTCGACTTACGACCTTGTTTTTTATGCCAAATCTCTGGGAAATAAACAACTATTTGTGTTGTACAGTGTTTATCCTAAACCTTACAGTATAAAATACAGTACTAACAACATAAAAAGTTAAGTAAAACATGAAATACCAAAATAAAACAATAAAATAGTCATTACAAAAATGTTTTGATATTCAGTAGTAAAGTTCGACTTACGACCATTTCAACTTACGACCAGTTTCTGGGAACCGAACTCGGTCGTTAGTCGGATGGTAGGTGTAGTTGTCTGGTGAGGGGCTGCACCTGAGGAATTGCACCTGTGCTCCAATTCCTGAAATAGAACATGAGAACATAAGAGGGGAAGGGCACTGCAGTAGGCCTGCTGGCCCATGCTAGGCAGTTCCAACTCTCATCCACCCCACTCATGTACTTATCTAACCTATTTTTAATGCTACCCAAAATTTTCACTTTAATAATACTACTTAGGAGTTTGTTCCACTCATCTACAACTCGGTTACCAAACCAGTGCTTTCTTATATCTTTTCTAAATATATTTTTTTCCAACTTCTACTCATTCTGCAAGGTCTGCCTAGATTAGATATTTTTACTACATAATTTATATCCCTTTTATCTGTTCCTGTCTTTCATGTACACCTCAATCATATCCCTGTAATTCTATGCCTTTCCAAAGAGTGCAGATTCAGTGTCCTCAGTCTGTTCTCAAAGGAAAATTTTTTGATGAATGGGATCAACTTTGCCATCATTCTCTCTATGTTTAACAGTGCAATTATGTCCATTCTGTAATGTGGTGACAACAGTTGCATGGTATAATTTAAATGAGGCCTTTCCAAGGATATATGAAGTTGAAGTATAACCTGAGGACTCTTACTTATACTTCTTGATTTGAAGTGAAGAATTTCTTTAGCTTTATTGTGAACAATTACCCCTATGAGTTTAGCACTCTTCTGTGAATGTAATAATGATAAGTGAATTGAGTATACATATAAGTAGTATATACAAGTCATCTCTGACGTGTGTATATTTTCAGGTCTTGCGCCATGAAGAATTTGATGAAGGTTGTAAAGCTTCATGCAATGGGTATGTTCATTATGTGCTTTAATTAACTAATTCTTGCTGTTGTGTATGTCTTTTAATTTATTTATGTCAAACTTTAACTTTTTGTTATATTCATTAAATCTTCCCCACATCTTCATTTTCTAATCTCTCTTGTACCCTTATTTTCCATTCATATTTTTATGCAATAAATAAAGTGAACACGGCTTTGCAAACCATATACATTAACTCTTTTAGCTCTGATGGGATATCAGATTCCCAGCTCTTTTCTATAACCATAGCAATGTACTGGTAAAAGTTGGAGGCCATAGAAACCTGGAGGGACCTTCACTACCTTCTAAAAATCTACTTGATTGTGAATCTGGTAACTTTGGCAGCTCTCTGCCTCACACAACATATCAACAAATGAGAACAAACCAATGTGCCTTTCATAATTCAGGGCTAAAATGGTCAAGTTCATGATAGGACTGTGAAAATAATAAAAGATTTTTTTTGTGTGGTCTTTGTTAATTTTTTTTAATATTACGTAATTTTCTTATGAAAGTATGCTTATGTGCTCCAGGGTGAAATTGCATTACTTTTCCTTGTTATAATTTTAACCATTCCCTTTCAATATATTTCGTGATCTTTCAGAAAATTTGCTTATGGTCCATTCTACACTAGGGCATAAATAAATATTAGCTTTAAGAATCAAAATCAACTACTCTACTAGTGGTTGCTTGCTGGCTTATTCTTATTGTGAAGAGTGGTAAATTATGGCATCTCATTTTCATAATCTATTTTGCAATACAAATGAACACTGAGAAATGCCATTTATATGCTTAGGCATATTTTTTTTGTATTACTATAAATGTATTTCTGTTTTTGTCATGTATGGCTGTCAGTTTGTTTCCATTGGTAAAGAAAATATTTTATTTGGAATGCAGTTCCTGAGAGATGTTTCTCAAGATCTGAGGTGGTTGAAGGTTTCTGTTAGTATTTTCTGTTAAATATCTGTTTTGCTGTTGACGGCCTATTTTGACAACTTTTTCGGAAAGTTTGAGCACAGTAAATTTCCTTTCTATGTGCGAGAGTTGGATAACACCAAATAAGACATACATTTTGATATTAATGGTAATTCTACTAATCTTATGTACCAAAGTTACCATATGATATTTGTTTATTGATTTATTTATTTATTTATTTATTTAAAAATTTGTGCACACATACAGAGGTACAAAAAATACAGAAAAGAGCAGTATGCCAAAGCCACTTATACTATGCATAGCATTACGGGCTGGCTTAAAATTAACTTAAGATGAACTAAGCAATGATGACATCGGTGATAAAACTTTAATGTAAACAGATTACTATAAAGCACAAGTGAGTATTACAAAGACAGGTCATATGGTTGTATGCATTGTTGTACATTCAGTAGAATGGAGTATTCTGTTAGGTAGTGTATTTAAAAAATAATAAAGTTAGATTGGGTTTTAGGTTTAACATTTATGTGATATAATTGTGAGAAACATTTAAGATATACAATTTATAAGGTTCAGTTATTCAGTATTTATTTGGTTTTGGGTGAGTAAGTGATCTTTGAGAAGAGACTTGAATTTATAAACAGGTAGTGTTCTTTTATATTTACAGGTAATGAGTTCCAGATTTTAGGGCCTTTTATGTGCATTGAGTTTTTGCAAAGTGTGAGATGGACACGAGGAACATCAAAGAGTGATCTGTGCCTTGTGTTATGGTCATGCGTTCTGTTGAGGTTGGCAAGGAGATGTTTGAGGGGAGGGTTAATATCAGAGTTAAGTGTTCTATGTATGTAATAGGTGCAGTAATAAGTATGAATGTTTTGTATGGTGAATAGGTTTAGTGTATTGAATATTGGTGGAGTGTGCTGCCTATAGTGAGAATTTGTTATCATTCTAACTGCAGCCTTTTGTTGGGTAATTAGTGGTCTGAGATGGTTACTTGTTGTTGAGCCCATGCACAAATTCCATAGGTGAGATAGGGGTAAATAAGAGAGTGATAAAGGGCCAGGAGGGCTGACTGTGGAGCATAGTACCGTATCTTCGATAGTATGCCTACAGTCTTGGAAATTTTCTTAGAAATTTGTTGTATGTGTATGAAATTTGAGTCTATTATCAAGGTGGATTCCTAAGAATTTTCCCTCTGTTAGCTTTGTGATAGGTGATCCGTTTATCATTATGTTAAGAGGGACATCTGTAGCTCTGTTACCAAACTGAATGAAGTAGGTTTTGTCAATGTTTAGTGTAAGTTTGTTAGTCCTCATCCAGGTAGATATTTTCTGTAATTCTGTATTTACAGTATTGGCTAGCGTGACTGGGCTCGGGTGGGAGAAGACGTATGTAGTGTCATCTGCAAATAGTGTGGGTTTGAGTAATTGCGAAGCGTTTGGTAGGTCATTTATGTATAGGAGAAAGAGAAGAGGGCCAAGGACACTTCCCTGTGGGACACCAACTGTAATTGGTTGTGCAGAAGAGTTTGCCCCATTTGCATACACATATTGGCTTCTGTTGCTGAGGTATGACTTGAGGTAGTTGAGGGAGTGCCCTCTTATACCATAGTGTGACAATTTTACGTGGAGCAAGTCATGGTTAACTGTATCAAAAGCTTTACGTAAGTCAATGAAGATCCCCAGTGGGACTTCTTTTTTCTCTATTGCAGTGTATATATGTTCTAGCATGTGTATAATAGCATCATTAGTATTTTTATTTGGCCTGAATCCAAATTGGCAGGGTTGAGTATGTTTTGGGAGATAAGGTAGGAGTAGATTCGTTTATGAATTAATTTTTCGAAGATTTTTGAGAGAGGGTGTAAGTTGGATATTGGCCTATAGTTATTCAACTCTGTTTGGTCTCCTCCTTTGTGGATCGGGGTGACCCTTGCTATTTTGAGTACTGTGGGGAAGGTGGAGGATTCAATGGATTTGTTAAAGAGTGTTGCAATGATTGGTGATAGCACTTGTGACACTTTTTTGTATATAAAGGGTGGTAAGGTATTTAAATCTCCTGCCTTGTTTTTTAGCGTGTTGATAATAAGGGAGACTTCGTATGGGTTAGTCGGAGCTAGGAACAGTGTGTTCGGGTAGTTGCCAGTGAGGTAGTCATTTGGTGGGGTATCTGAGCTTGGGATTTTATTGGCAAGGTTTTGTCCTATAGTGGAGAAGAAATCATTGAGTCTGTTTGCTGTTTCTGTTGGTGGGAGTTGGGGTTCATCTGATTTTGCTAATTTTATTTCGCTATTTCGTGATATCTTTTTTGTTCCTAGAATTTCTGATAGGGTTTTCCAGGTCTTTTTTATATCACCTCGTAAGTTGGATAATCTGTTCTCATAATACAATTTTTTTGCCCTTCTTATCAGGCTGGTTAGGATTGATACTGAAATAGAAAATGAATTTAGTAATTTGAGCTATCTGCACGATTTCAGACCCTATGATGGTAAATGGAGTAAGACGATGATTGGTTATGGCGCAGAAGACAACCACTTTGTATGTGAACTTACCTACAATTATGGCATCTCTCATTATGAAATGGGTTAGTGTTTATTCATTATAATATGTCTGTGGAAGCAAAGATGAGAATGTATGAAAGTATAGTTGTACCAACACTCTTGTATGGGTGTGAAGCATGGGTGATAAATATTGCAATGAGGAGGAGGCTGAGGGCAGTGATTTCATGTCTGAGGGCAACGTGTGGTGTGAATATAATGAAGAGAATTCGTAGTTTGGAAATTAGGTGTGAGATTACCAAAACTGTTATACAGAGGGCTGAGGAGGGGTTGTTGAGGTGGTTTGGACATGTAGAGAGAATGGAACAAAACAGGATGATTTTGAGAGTGTATAAATCTGTAGTGGAGGGAAGGTGGGGTAGGGGTCAGCCTAGGAAGGGTTGGAGGGAGGAGGGGGTAAAGGAGGTTTTGTGTGCGAGGGGCTTGGACTTCCAGCAAGCATGTGTGAGCATATTGACAGGAGTGAATGCAGACGAATGGTGTTGGAGTGTGAGCAAAGTAACGTTTATGAAGGGATTCAGGGAAACTGGCAGACCGGACTTGAGTCCTGGAGATTGAAAGTACAGTGTCTGCACTCTGAAGGAGGGGTGTTAATATTGCAGTTTTTTAACTGTAGTGTAAAGCACCCCTCTAGCAAGACAGTGATGGAATGAGTGATGATGAAAGTTTTTCTTTTTCGGGCCACCCTGCCTTGGTGAGAATCGGCCAATGTGTTAATAAAATAAATAAAAATGTGGGAATAATGCATGCATGCAGGTATCTAAATTTATAAAAAATTTTGATAGATATCAGACACTCCCTGATCTGAACAGAAAAATATTAATAAGTACAGTGGACCCCTGGTTTACGATATTATTTCATTCCAGAAGTATGTTCAGGTGCCATTACTGAACGAATTTGTTCCCATAAGGAATATTGTGAATTAGATTAGTCCTTTTCAGACCCCAAACATACATGTACAAATGCACTTGCATAAATACACTTACGTAATTGGTCGCATTGGGAGCTGATCGTAAACCGTGGGTCCACTGTATTCATAATAACTTACCAGAGCCTAGAGCAAAGAACATGTATGAACAAATGTTTTTACACCTGCTGTCCCTATTAATTTAGCAGTAAACAGATACTGTACATTACTTGCCAGTCATCCTGGTCTGTAAAGTGGGGTATAAGTACTTTGCCTCTCTGCCTTGTAATAATTTTTTTACAAAACCCTAGGTATAAATAAGGAATGGGAGTGGTGTATATGGTTCCCACTGTATCCTGTAACAGCAGTCAGTGTACAGTGTTTCTGTGTTATGCTACATTATTGGGGTTAAAATGTGAGGAAATAGGTGATAGTGTTTATATACATACACTATTTTGTTTATTGCACCAAGTCACAGGTCTCCACAGATAGGTGTAAATCATTTGTTTCATGCATCAGCAACTGATGTAGTGTTTTCATACTACTACATAATTCGTATTAAAATGTGAGGATACTGTATATAGATTGTTCATCAGTGTACAAATCTCCAATTCTGACCATTCTTTTGTTGTTTGAATCAGGAACTTTAGCAGTGGTACTGTTATATTATCTAACCTTATATGTTGATGAGTCACAAGGAGGAGGGCCCTGCTCATACAGCAGGTTAGATTCTGGGCTACTGCTGTAAAGTGAAATATAGCTTTTTTTTTTTTTTCAATTTCAAATTCATATTAAAGCCTGATAACCTGTTTACATTATCATATATTAAGTGAACACTATAGCTAGGTCTATAAATTGTTTGTGTATGCATTACTTAAAATATTTTTGTCCTTAGCTTGTAGTGAGTGGTGAATACATTTATTGTGGGAAGTTTGAATAAATGAAGAATGGGTACAATTGAAAATCGCTTCATTAGAGAAATGTTGTAAAGTGAAGCGCTGCAAAGCGGTGCCCTCCTGTATTAGTGCAACCTTCGAATATTAATGAACACTTCAGTGTTGATTATGCAAGCAGATGCTTAACAACTAAAAGGGCATCATTTCTCAAAGATATTTGCTTATGAACGAAGCACCTACCTCCACCTAATGAATGTATTATCGTTCCAGTCACGGTATTGTGCCTTTTTTTGTTATTAATGTATTATTGTTATTATTTTAATTTTTTATTTTATTTTAATTAAATTTTATATTTTTTCATTATATCTTGATATTGTTTTAATTATATTTTATTTTACTCTTTTTATTATAAACATGAAGACTTGCTAAACTTTTAACCCTTAAACTGTCCAAACGTAGATCTATGTTTGGAGCCCCCCACACATGAACGTAGATCTACGTTTGGACAGTTTAAGGGTTAACCTATTAACTGTGGCATACCTGCTATTAAAATTCCAGTGTGGGGCAAGATTTTGATAAAACACAAAATTAATATAGTTCCAAAAAGTGCAGTTTTATAAACTGAGTAAGACTAATAGCTATGAGTGAAATCTGATAAAAACTTAGGGTTTTTATGGTGTATTGAAGTTGGCAGAACTTGATGCGTTGTTGGTGCCTGAATTAAACTTTTCTTTAGTGTTGCTATATTTCTCTATTTAAAATTTCACTGGGAATTGGATTTGATCAAGTATTTGCCTTTCTACAGTGAGCAGAACATTTCATATCAAATTATTATATCAGGACCATTAAACCATGTACTTATCCATGTGTTTTTTGAGACCGTGCGTCCTCTAGTACATCCACTTTCTTGAGCAGGTGAGTCTTTTTTTTTTTTATTTCAGATACCCCTTGGTGTTCTAAGACTATATAACACCTTAATCATGTCGGAAAATCTAGGTTATTGGCAAATTTGGTATGCAGCCGCCTTTTACTTGGAAATGTAAATGTGGAAATTAATTGCGGAGCTCATCATCAGTCATTTGCTAGTATGAAAGTGTTGTAAAGAAGTTAGGTAAAGATGAGAAAAATATAAGAAGAAAGTTAAGCCACAACAGGACATATTTTCATTGCAGTACAATTGACAATTAACTCACACCTCTATAAGAAACTAAGTAATGTTTTGTTCTGGCCTGGAACATTATCAAGTAATAACTGAGAATGGTCCAAGTCAGACCAGAATGTCTTATTTTCTTTTGAGAAGTGTTCTGGCCACTGTGTTGTGGTATCAGTTCTGCAAAGACAGGACTGTCTCCACCATTGTAAGATTAAAAATATGTACGAGGTATTGATGACTTTTTCATATTGACAGCATGAGAGCTGATTTTTTATCTAAGATTTTTTTTTTTTTTCAACAAGTCGGCCGTCTCCCACCGAGGCAGGGTGACCCAAAAAGAAAGAAAATCCCCAAAAAGAAAATACTTTCATCATTCAACACTTTCACCTCGCTCACACATAATCACTGTTTTTGCAGAGGTGCTCAGAACACAACAGTTTAGAAGCATATACGTATAAAGATACACAACATATCCCTCCAAACTGCTAATATCCCGAAACCCCTCAAAATTACATTTGTGAGTTCCACGTAGTTCTGGCAAGATGGCTGTCAAATGAGTAAGGTGAATGCATTATCTTGTTTTGTCACCTTTTCTTTGTGAGAAACAGCTTTTTGATTAAAATAATAATTACACATTCAAGCAAACTCTCATATCTGCATGCCTCTGCAAAGGCAATGATTATGTTTGAATGATAATGAAAGTGTTTTTATTTTTTTGAGAGATGGCCGGCATGCTAAAAAGAAAATTACAAACGAATGCTGTACTAAAAATACAAAGTCCTATCATTTTTCTTGCTTCAAGGGAGGTGTCTTGACGCTGATGAAAGGCTTTGATCCATGGAATTGGAGCTATCTATCCCATGGGTCAACCCTAATTGCTTTCTGTTCTCCAAGGATTGTATGACCCTTATGAGTTTAGTGCTTACCCATTAATATGTTAATGCATTCAGTAATTATTTTTTGTTACCAAGGTGTATGGTACAATATTTTGTCTTCTTAAACTCGTTTTTGTATTTTTTAACACCCCAAAAAATTTGGAAACGGGCACATACTCTCTTCATTTACTGATGTGCCTATTGTATCTTAGATGTTTTTGAGAGCTTTAGATTTTGTACTTTTATTGGTTTAGGTGAATAACATTTTTAATGTACTGTACATTAGCACTTAGGAGGGATATGTTGTGTATCTTTATACGTACAGTGGCCCCCCCGATTAACGATATTTTTTCATTCCAGAAGTATGTTCAGGTGCCAGTACTGACCGAATTTGTTCCCATAAGGAATATTGTGAAGTAGATTAGTGCATTTCAGACCCCCACACATACACGTACAAACGCACTTGTATAAATACACTTACATAATTGGTCGCATTGGGAGGTGATCGTTAAGTGGGGGTCCACTGTATATGCTTCTAAACTGTTGTGTTCTGAGCACCTCTGCAAAAACAGTGATTATGTGCGAGTGAGGTGAAAGTGTTGAATGATGATGAAAGTATTTTCTTTTTGGGGATTTTCTTTCTTTTTGGGTCACCCTGCCTCGGTGGGAGACGGCCGACTTGTTGGAAAAAAAAAAGTAAAAAAAAAAAAAAAGAGGTTCACTGTTAAATAATGTCATCTTTCTCAATAGGTAATGACTTTTTGGGAATGCACATTGAATCTTCTGAGGCTGTGGAAAGAGCCAAGGCAAATGGCTGGCCAGTGAAAGAGGAAGGTGGACACAGTTTGTTAGAGGCTCCAGGTGGATACAAATTTATCATCATTCACAAACCTCAACCACAAGATAGAGGTGAGCCAGGCAGCTAGTGCTTTTCTACTGGTAATACTTGAAGTTTTAAATAAAAATTAGCTTTGTGTACATAGTTAACTTGAACTTCAGCAAGCATGCTTGAGTGTGTTAGATAGGAGTCAGTGGAGACAAATGGTTTTTAGGACTTGACGTGCTGTTGGAGTGTAAACAAGGTAACATGAAGGGATTCAGGAAAACTGGCAAGCTGGACTTGAGTCCTGGAGGTGGGAAGTACAGTTCCTACACTCTGAAGGAAGGGTGTTAATGTTGCAGTTTTATAACTAGTGTAAGCCTGTCTCTGGCAAGACAGTGATGAAGTGAATGATAAGTTTTTCTTTTTCTGGCCACCCTTCCTTGGTGAGAACCAGCCAATGTGTTAACCCTTAAACTGTCCAAACGTAGATCTACGTTTGTGTGTGTAGTGCTCCGACCTTAATTTTCTCCATAAGAAACAATGTAAAAAAACGTAGATCTACATTCGGAGCGCTACGCGTGCAAACATAGATCTACGTTTGGACAGTTTAAGGGTTAATAAGATAATGAATAACATAGTTAACTGTTGCACATTAGGTTATGAATGGATCAGAGGGTGCAGGACACAGCGTGCCCACCATCAGTGTAAACTGATTTATATTTAATAAATTTCACAATGAATTTAACTCGTGTTTATCTAGCATTAGACAATTCACTCCACTCTTAAAATTTTTAAACCTTCTGAACAAACAAGTTATTCACACATTCTGCTGCTCTGACTATATCAGCAGACAGAGCTGTGATGTTAGTTCAGACTCATGATGTTTTTAAGAACTTAGCAGAACCTAATGGGAACAACACAAGCAATAAATACTTTTTTGTTGCTCATTGATTACAGCTGAATCTATATACAGTGGAACCTCGACTTACGAGTGTCCCGGTTTACGAGTTTTTTGAGATATGAGCCGTCACTCGGTCGATTTTTTGCTCTGAGTTATGAGCCAACATCTGAGTTACAAGCCAGCCAGCCTCCCCCCATCCCCCCCGCTTCCCCCTCAACCCAAAATCTGCCCACCTTGCTTGTTTATCTATGATTTCTTGCTTTCATTCCATGGAAATCATCCTCTTTTTCTTCTAAGCACTGTCCTTTACACTTTCTTAGGACCCATGCTTAGAAAAATGAAATTTGGCCAAATGCCTGTAAAAAATGTAAGCAAAGCATGAGAGAAATATTCCCAAACCGAGGTAAACAGTGCACTGAGTTGGTGGCGTTCTGAAGCTCTCATTATTATTATTACTGTTATTATTATTATAATTTTATAATATTATAATAATACATACGTAATACGTAATAATGATTCAGAATGCTGCCACTAGTTGGCGCAGCCAATGGCCAAACATCTGACGAGTCCACATGTTTACATAGCTGTAGGAACATTTCTCTTGTGCTTGCTTGCATTTTTTTAGTCATTTGGCAAAATTACATTTTTCTAACCATGGGTCCTAAGAAAATAAGTGCAAAGGACAGCGCTGAGAAGAAAGAGGATGATTTTCATGGAATTAAAGCAAATTGTATGAGTTAAGTTCAGCAGTCAAACAAAAGAAATTCTATCATCACTCATCATATTATGGCTTATTTTATTCATTCTAGAGTATATATCTTGTTTCTCTGTTAATTATATTGTTTATTATGTCATATTAGATGAATTGTGATAGATAAATAAGCCACAGAGTTGTTGTATTGAATTATTTTGTCCTGCCGCTGGGATGGATTAATGGCATTTCAATTATTTTAAATGAGGAAAATTGATTTGATATACAAGGAAATTGAGTTACGAGCTAGGTCACGGAACGGATTAAACTCATTAGTCAAGGTTCCACTGTATGTAGAAACACTAGTCCAGTGGTGTCTCAATATATGCATCAACATCCAGAAGAAACTAAGCTGTAAAAATATTCAACTTATGTAAAAGAAACATTATAGAAAACTGCCTGTCTCTTCCCATCTTATACTATATGTTTCAGTTTATTAGAATTTTATCTTGGAATTATAATTTACCAGCATTCATTGCTTCTTGTTACCTCCATAGATCCAGTACAGCAAGTAGTACTAGCAAGCAGTAATCTAGAAAAATCCATTCATTATTGGAAAGACTTAGCAGGGCTGACCATGTACAAGAAAAGTGACACTGAAGCTACATTTGGATTTGGTGATAAGCAAGCAAAGCTAGTTCTACGTGATATTGGTAAGCGTTTTACTAAATTTATCCGAATGAATCCTTTTGACAATGTACCTAGCGAACTAAGTACACATTCTAGAATCAGTAAAATTTACTCTGCATTTATTTTCAACATACAAATGCTGTCTAATTTATTATCTTTTGAGTTTGTTGCAGTAGATCCATTCATTGTTGTAGCTGATACATTGTTGCACTTGTTCAGTGTATTCATTTTGTTTCACCTGTTTTCAGTTTGTTGAACGTGTTCCATTTTAATAAGTAGGGACAAGCTAGTCATTCCAGACCAGAGGAAAATTTAATTATCACCTCATTTGTGTGTTATGTTTACTAATTAGTGGCTTTATCTGAAAAAAATCTATGAATATGTAAGTGCAGTACAGAGGTGAACAGTGGTGTCATATTTTACAACGGTCAGAATAAAATTAAAATTTATTAACTGGTTGATGTCATAAATGGGTTAATTTTTTTTTTAGATATTTTTATTTGCTTTAAATTTAATTCTTCATGAGCATCTTGTCACAGTAATCTCTGAAAATGTGGGGATATTTGCTGTATATTTATATATTTTATGGTAAACATATTAATTGGTTTCATCAGTTGTGTGTTTGTGGTGACATTGGTTCTCACAGTAGCAACACATTTAATATTTCATTAATTTCTCCTCTGCCCATATTTGTGTGCAAGAAACCTGTCATTATTGCTACATTGTGTTATCCTCTTTATCACTTGCAAAGATGCGTAGTACTGTAATCCTGAACAACTAGAAACAAATGTGAGGTTAAGATAATATCATTCTTGTCTTGTTTTTCTTGAGGATCTGTCTACCCTTCAAGTGAGAGATCACAATGCAGAATTTTTCTTAGATGTTTTAAATGATCTCCATGGGGAAGTGGAATAGAATTCTTCCTCCATATGCCATGCGTGTTGTAAGAGGCGACTAAAATGCCGGGAGCAAGGGGCTAGTAACCCCTTCTCCTGTATACATTACTGAAGTTAAAAAGAGAAACTTTTGTTTTTTTCTTTTTGGGCCACCCCGCCTCAGTGGGATACGGTTGGTGTGTTGCAAGAAAGTTTTAAATGACTGTACATTCTGTTGTGGCTATTATTATAATACACATGTGCAGCTAGCTTGAATAGAGACTCAAGAATGAGGGCAGACTGCACTTCAGCAAGCACCTAAAATAGAAGATCTAGTTAGAAAAATGTAAAATGTTTGAATAGGCTTAAAAAATTAAGAAATTTATGGAGAGAAAACAATGGAGCAAGCCATGAAATGACATTCTGGTAAGAGCAGAGTTAGGGAAAAGGATGAGTAATCATAGATGTAACCTCTCTCTACCAAAGTTGTGCTGTATATCTTGAGCATCTTTGATACAAATATCAACCTTAATTTCAGGTGGCCCAGTAGATCATGCAAAGGCTTTTGGCCGCATTGCGTTTGCAGCTCCAGGTGCTGATTTACCAAGTATTGAGAAGAAAATGAAAGAAGCCAATGAAACAATTCTCACACCATACATTTCTTTAGACACTCCTGGTAAAGCTACTGTGCAAGTTGTCATCTTGGCTGATCCTGTAAGTTCTGCAAAGCATTGTGCCTTGGTTTTTTTCTCCCTAACTCTGCTATTTACTCAATGCAATTGGTCTTGGTGTGCGATTTTTCATTGATTTGACAATCCTGCTTTGTAACAAAAAGTTTGCTTAAAGGAATGAGGAGTGATTTTAAGTACATGTGTAATGTTACTGGCAGTAATGGTATTGTGATTACATTTTTGTAATCACACTTACCAGTTCTAGTAAATTAAGAAATAAAAGAATATGAAAGGAGCAGATAAAACAATTGCATATTCAAAGATATGAAAATAGAATGTAGGTTAAGAGTATGTTAATTGTTACCGTGTTAGAAAATAAGAAACTCTTGGCGCACACAAATTACAGAGCATAACCACTAATCTGTGATCAAGGTTAATCTGTGATCAAGGATTCCTAGTTCATAACTAGCCAAAAATTTAGAAAAGAAACTTAATACAATGTTTTGGCTAGTCATTATCAAGTCTGTCATGATGTAATTGTTCAGGATGGAGCAAAACATCATTGAAAGCTTCCTTTCCAAGTTGTGGGTTAGTTGCGAATTGTTCCCAGCCATAATATTGTGACTTATTCTAAAAGGCTTTGGAGGAATATAAGTGTTTTAGCAAAGACATATAAATGTAATAAAGTAATTTACATAATGTCATTGATAAAAGCGACCCTCTGATATCACAAACATAAATCCTTTTGAAGACAAATCTATATTTACAGTTTCTTGCATGTAGAGTAACAAGTAGTGTTCATTTGTAGTAATTCCAAAAGCCTACTTGTTCTGTTTAGTTTATTATTCAGAACTGGGCCCCTTGCACCTTTTGAGGTCTTTTAAATGACTCTCAAGTTTAGGAAAAATATTCCAATCTGTTAAGCATTTTATTTTTCATTGGTTGAAATCAACAGATTTGATAATGAATAAATGAATAGTGACATTGAACCAAAAAATATAAAGATTAATATGGCTGCAAAGTGGATGAAAAAAATAGTTTAAAGTTAGAATTTAGCGATCTTTGTAATATACTGCTTTATTAATTCCTCCTATTTTAGTTAGGGTAGTACATAGAAGTTTTTGTTACAGTGTAACAAATCATTCTCCACTTGACTAAGTACCAGTACTTCTATTCACCTTAATTATGTCAACTTTTTTTTTTTTTTTTTTTTTTTTTTTTTTTTTTTTTCCCAACAAGTCGGTCGTCTCCCACCGAGGCAGGGTGACCCAAAAAAAGAAAGAAAATCCCCAAAAAGAAAATACTTTCATCATCATTCAACACTTTCACCACACTCACACATTATCACTGTTTTTGCAGAGGTGCTCAGAATACAACAGTTTAGAAGCATATACGTATAAAGATACACAACATATCCCTCCAAACTGCCAATATCCCAAACCACTCCTTTAAAGTGCAGGCATTGTACTTCCCATTTCCAGGACTCAAGTCCGACTATATGAAAATAACCGGTTTCCCTGAATCCCTTCACTAAATATTACCCTGCTCACACTCCAACAGATCGTCAGGTCCCAAGTATCATTCGTCTCCATTCACTCCTATCTAACACGCTCATGCACGCTTGCTGGAAGTCCGAGCCCCTCGCCCACAAAACCTCCTTTACCCCCTCTTTCCAACCCTTTCGAGGACGACCCCTACCCCTCTTTCCTTCCCCTATAGATTTATATGCTTTCTATGTCATTCTACTTTGATCCATTCTCTCTAAATGACCAAACCACCTCAACAACCCCTCTTCTGCCCTCTGACTAATGCTTTTATTAACTCCACACCTTCTCCTAATTTCCACACTCCGAATTTTCTGCATAATATTTACACCACACATTGCCCTTAGACAGGACATCTCCACTGCCTCCAACCATCTCCTCGCTGCTGCATTTACCACCCAAGGTTCACAACCATATACGAGTGTTGGTACTACTATACTTTCATACATTCCCTTCTTTGCCTCCATAGATAACGTTTTTTGACTCCACATATACCTCAACGCACCACTCGCCTTTTTTCCCTCATCAATTCTATGATTAACCTCATCCTTCATAAATCCATCCACCGACACGTCAACTCCCAAGTATCTGAAAACATTCACTTCTTCCATACTCCTCCTCCCCAATTTGATATCCAATTTTTCTTTATCTAAATCATTTGATACCCTCATCACCTTACTCTTTTCTATGTTCACTTTCAACTTTCTACCTTTACACACATTCTCAAACTCATCCACTAACCTTTGCAATTTTTCTTTAGAATCTCCCATAAGCACAGTATCATCAGCAAAAAGTAACTGTGTCAATTCCCATTTTGAATTTGATTCCCCATAATTTAATCCCACCCCTCTCCCGAACACCCTAACATTTACTTCTTTTACAACCCCATCTATAAATATATTAAACAACCATGGTGACATTACACATCCCTGTCTAAGACCTACTTTTACCGGGAAGTATTCTCCCTCTCTTCTACACACCCTAACCTGAGCCTCACTATCTTCATAAAAGCTCTTTACAGCATTTAGTAACTTACCACCTATTCCATAAACTTGCAACATCTGCCACATTGCCCTCTATCCACTCTATCATATGCCTTTTCTAAATCCATAAATGCAATAAAAACTTCCCTACCTTTATCTAAATACTGTTCACATATATGCTTCAATGTAAACACTTGATCTACACATCCCCTACCCACTCTGAAGCCTTCTTGCTCATCCGCAATTCTACATTCTGTCTTACCTCTAATTCTTTCAATTATAACCCTACCGTATACTTTTCCTGGTATACTCAGTAAACTTATTCCTCTATAATTTTTACAATCTCTTTTGTCCCCTTTTCCTTTATATAAAGGGACTATACATGCTCTCTGCCAATCCCTAGGTACCTTCCCCTCTTTCATACATTTATTAAACAAAAGTACCAACCACTCCAACACTATATCCCCCCCTGCTTTTAACATTTCTGTCATGATCCCATCAGTTCCAGCTGCTTTACCCCCTTTCATTCTACGTAAAGCCTCACGTACCTCCACCACACTTACATTCTGCTCTTCACTCCTAAAAGATGGTATACCTCCCTGGCCAGTACATGAAATTACCGCCTCCCTTTCTTCCTCAACATTTCAAAGTTCCTCAAAATATTCTCGCCATCTACCTAATACCTCCCTCTCCCCATCTACTAACTCCCCTACTCTGTTTTTAACGGACAAATCCATACTTTCCCTAGGCTTTCTTAACTTGTTTAACTCACTCCAAAATTTTTTCTTATTTTCATTAAAATTTCTTGACAGTGCCTCTCCCACTCTTTCATCTGCTCTCCTTTTGCACTCTCTCACCACTCTCTTCACCTTTCTTTTACTCTCCATATACTCTGCTCTTCTTATAACACTTCTGCTTTGTAAAAACCTCTCGTAAGCTACCTTTTTCTCTTTTATCACACCCTTTACTTCATCATTCCACCAATCACTCCTCTTTCCTCCTGCCCCCACCCTCCTATAACCACAAACTTCTGCCCCACATTCTAATACTGCATTTTTAAAACTATTCCAACCCTCTTCAACCCCCCCACTACTCATCTTTGCACTAGCCCACCTTTCTGCCAATAGTCGCTTATATCTTGCCCGAACTTCCTCCTCCCTTAGTTTATACACTTTCACCTCCCTCTTACTTGTTGTTGCCACCTTCCTCTTTTCCCATCTACCTCTTACTCTAACTGTAGCTACAACTAAATAATGATCTGATATATCAGTTGCCCCTCTATAAACATGTACATCCTGGAGCCTACCCATCAACCTTTTATCCACCAATACATAATCTAACAAACTACTTTCATTACATGCTACATCATACCTTGTATATTTATTTATCCTCTTTTTCATAAAATATGTATTACTTATTACCAAATTTCTTTCTACACATAACTCAATTAAAGGCTCCCATTTACATTTACCCCTGGCACCCCAAATTTACCTACTACTCCCTCCATAACATTTTTACCCACTTTAGCATTGAAATCCCCAACCACCATTACTCGCACACTTGATTCAAAACTCCCCACGCATTCACTCAACATTTCCCAGAATCTCTCTCTCTCTTCTACACTTCTCTCTTCTCCAGGTGCATACACGCTTACTATAACCCACTTTTCACATCCAATCTTTATTTTACTCCACATAATCCTTGAATTTATGCATTTGTAGTCCCTCTTTTCCTGCCATAGCTTATCCTTCAACATTATTGCTACTCCTTCTTTAGCTCTAACTGTATTTGAAACCCCTGACCTAATCCCATTTATTCCTCTCCATTGAAACTCTCCCACCCCCTTCAGCTTTTTCACTTAAAGCCAGGACATCCAGTTTCTTCTCATTCATAACATCCACAATCATCTCTTTCTTATCATTTGCACAACATCCACACACATTCAGACTTCCCACTTTGACAATTTTCTTCTTATTATTATTCTTATTCTTATTCTTATAACTTTCTTCTTATGGTTTAATAATGGAAAATGAGTTGGTTATTTGTTTCACCAAAGGATGGTCATGAAATATGCTTCGTGGGAGACGAAGGATTCCGTGAACTTTCTCAAGTAGACCCCAAAGGCGATGAACTCCTGAATGAGGCTATGAAGAAAGACAAGTCAGATGAGTGGTTTGCTAAAAAAGGTGGAAAGGCCTCAGCTTAAATTTCATCCAGCTTATTTCAACAGTGAAACGGTGAACCTTTGTCAAGTTAAACTATTTGCATCAGTTAAGTTTAAAGCTATTACCATTTTTGTACCTTTTTTGAAAAATACAATAGTTCTTTTCCAGTTGTTAGATCATTTACCTTTCTATTCATTTATATACAGGTAGCTAATGTGTTTTTTTCCATTTGAAGAAGAATTATAATTTCTGATTCATTAATTCGCCTTGTATCATGTGCCATATAACATCACTACACAAAACTTGGCTGAGAACAAGACTGGCTTGTGGAACATCACTTTTACTCTGCCAGCAGTAACGAAAGGATAAGGTATTATTTGTGGTCCTGTCTTTCATTTTTTGTTTTACCAAGCGTGTTCTAACGTGTGTGTTCTTGTTATGCATTTTCAAGAGGAAATGCTTGAATTGTGTGTACATGGTTGCATATTATAAGTGCTTGTGTGTTTGTAGCTATGCATAAGTACTTGTCTGTTATATTTGTACTTGACATATTTTCATTTACTGAAGTTGCTTGTTTCATTTGCTGAAGTTGCTTGTTTTTAGTCTTGTGTATGTATTCATTTGTGATATGTATGTGTTCTTGTAAGACTTGTATATGCTTGCCATGTGTGATAGCTTTGTGGTGTCCTGTCTTCAGTGTTTAATGTCTCATATGAATTTAGTTTCCAGTGATTGTAGCACTTACTACCACTCTTGAATCCCAGTCTAGCAGTCTGCTGCTATTGTTTGTGAATAATAATAGTAAACTTGTCATATGAACTTTGGTAAAAGGTGTTTAAAGTACTATTAACCCTCTATTAGGCCCTCTCCGAGACTCGTTCTCAGGGTCGGCCAAATTTAAAAAAAAAAAAAAAAAAAAAAAATTCTCATGAAAAGATAGAGAATCTTTTCCAAATCATAATGACACCAAAAATATAAAATTTGATGGAAAACTTATGGAATTATGCTCTCGCGAAGTTAGCGGTCTCGGACGATGTTTACGGATCAGCGATTTTGCCCACTTTGAGCCCCATTTTCGGCCAGTTCCACTGTACTAGTCGACAAAAAACATGAATATTTCGCTAGAACTCCATTTTTTCTATTGAATGAGTGCAAGAAACCTCCCATTTACCAATTTCAACTATCCAGTACAGTGGTCAGAATTTAGCAATTTTGCCAATTTCACACAAATTTCAAAAGATGCCAATTTCCGAATAGGGTCCAGAACAAACAAGAAATACATTCCTGGCACTAAAATGACATTTTCTCTGTTCATTAGTCATGTCTCAAGGCCCCACTTACATTCTTTTGCTTTCCACTTTGAATTTTTATTCTCACAAAAAATAGAAGATTTACTGTTATGCAGACTACAGCATTAGTGTAAAAAATGGTATGACTCATATTGGCGCACTTGCAAAAGAATATTAGACTCACCAGTTGATGTGTATTGGACGCTTGGCATGATTTGCTTACTTTTGAACTTTGGTAAAAATCGAACATTTCTGCTACTTTGAGCTCAATTTCAAGGTACTTTTCATTGTAAAACCAGTCAAAATCATCTCAATTTCTATTTCTATGATATGCCTTCCATTCTATAAAATGAGACCAAGAAAACTAGAATGCAACAATAAATACCATACGAAAATACAGTGCAAAGTCGCTGTTTTATTCCAAAAAAACGGTCAGTTTTTTTTTCTCATTATGCACTGTGTGCTGCAGGATTTTTTTTTATACCGTGCACACTGACCACATAGACCCATTCTTTCATATGGAGGCCTACCAGCTTTCTCCCACTAGATTTGAGGGCGCTAGAATTTAGGCGTACTAGTACATGTACGTCAAAAACCCTGGGTCGTAAGCCGTACTAGTACATCCGAAACCCTCAAAGGGTTAATGAATATAGAAGTTAGTACAAATAAAAAAAAGAATTATGTTCACACATTTCTGGCAAGACAGCTGTCGAATGAATGATGGTGAATGAATTTTTTTTTTTTTTTTTTAGGGGGTCATCCTACCTTGATGGGAGACTGCTGGTATGGTAGAAAAAAAGAGATCTAGTATGTTTTTCAATTCTGTTTTTGTGTATACATACAGTATTTTCAGTCTGATTTGTTTTTCGTTTGTTTATTAAATACTATATTTAAATGCTTGGTTCACCCTTATTTGCAATGCCTTATATGTTCTTTTAGCATCACTTTCTCTTTCTTCCTGTGCATGCTTGTTAAAAAACATTACCTCTTTATTACCTCATCTTTTGTGATCTTGTTTGTGATTATTATATCTTTTTTCTTTCTGTATGTGCTCTTCAATTGTGTATGTGCTTGTAATATGTGTACATGTAGTGTGAATATGCAGTATGTGTATTGTGTGTACACAGGTCATGTTTATGTACTTGTTACATTCATTATAAATGTCATGTGTAGGTACAAGTCATGTGTACACTCATTATGTATATGTAAATATGCATCATGTACAGTATGTGCTAGTCAGGTGTATGATCATGCATGTTAAGCACATGTCATGTATGTGCCTGTCATGTGTGCATGTGTGTGTGTTTTTGGGCTTGCATGTTTTTATTCATTCTGTCATGTACGCTCCTTACCAGACTCGTCTGGTACTTGCCTGGTCAACTAGGCTCTTGCTGCTGCTGGTCCACTGACCCACATATCCATCACAACTGGTTGATCTGGTATCATGAGCATAGCTGTTCCTATAATTACAAATGGGTAATTACCCAGCTCAGGGTGGTGTATGCAGAACTTAAATTGTAACTAAGGAGTACTAATGAGGTGTAGTTCCTCTTAATGCATTTCTTTGAATTAAGGAAGAAATTTTGAGTGTACTATGCAGTGTGACATGAATCCGGACAACATCTATGATTACCTATTTAATAAGTATAAAAATACCATTGCTTTATTTTTGGGCAGATGCTGGGAGTCAATAAAATTGATCTGCAGTTTTTCGTCTTTCATTACATAGTTTAAGTTGGATGCAGATCTGATAATATAAATTTCACGTGGTATGTAAGAAAGGAAAAATTGCACGAAGTGGGATAGGTTTGTAGTTAGACTGCTTAGTAGTGGTATTTTATTTTTCTTTACAGCTGTTTGACCCTTTTAGGTCTAGCATTTTAATACAGTTATATAATTAATTTGCACTACAAATATCCATAATGAAAGAATTAGTTGCAGCATTCCATTGTAATTTGGTTTGTGTTACTGTTTCATTATAATTGTGAAATATCAAACTATTACTCTTTAGTAATTGATCGTTACCTAATGCAGTGGTTCCCAGACTGTGGTCTGCACACCCCAGGGGTGCACAAGCCGACTTTTTGAGGGTGCACAGAATTTTTATTTAGTATGCAACCTCTCCTCACTTAATGACAGGGTTCCGTTCCTAAGACCACATCGTTAAACGAATTCATCGCAAAGTGAGGAGCATACTATAATGGTAGTGGGTTTGACTCGACTCTCTTTGATAATATTTTAACCCGTAAACGGTCCAAATGTATATATATGTTTTTTCAACATTTGAAAGTATGAAAAAAAGTAGATCTTCTTTGTTTTTCTAAATTTGAAAATGTGTAAAAAAACTTTGATCTAATTTTTTTTTTTTTGTTATATTTGAAAATATGTAAAAAAAATGTAGATCTACTTTTGTAGCACTACACATGTGAACCTCGTCAAGGGGGGCTCCTTGGCGTGGTGAAGAGGCTCTTGGTCTGAGGAATTAGACCTGTCGGTCTCCTTCCTCAGACCGAACCTAATTACCCCCCAATCCCCCCTCCCCTCCCCCATCCTCCCCTTTTCCCTTTCCTCCTCCCCCTCTCCACCCCTCCCTTTTGCCCTTCCTCTTTTTGGCCTTTGGGATTTTCTCCACAGGCGTGCTAGTTCCTAGGTAGGGGAAAGGGTACCGGGGTCCATCCAATTCCGTTGAGGTTCTTGGCGGTGGCGTAGTTTGCAGTGGAATCTGGATCGCCTGGGGATGTCCCGATCCCTCTCCGGTATCCCGGAGAGTGGCTTTGGGCGTCTTTCGGGCGGCGGGTGTATCTCTGGAAGCCACCTTTCGGATTCCGGGGGTGGTGGCCAAAGGAGGCATGCTTTGTGGTGGATATCCGGCCGCCCTCTCTTTTGTCCACCGAGGTAGCTCGGCAGATGTGAGGTTGCTATCCCAGATTGCTGGTTTACTGGCATGATGGGTAGGGTATGGCACGGGTTCCATGCTGCATCTACGCTACTTGCGGTGCTGAGGTCCTCTTGGGCATGGAGGGAGATTTCTGGCCCTTTCATTCCTCCTAGGAACTATCCCTCCCCGGTCCCCCCTTTTTTTTTATTCTTTTTTATTTTTATTTTCTTCTTTCTTTTTTTTTTTTCTTAAAAACAAAAAGAAAGAAGTAACCTAACCATGGAGAACCCAATCCATGAACCTGCTACCCCCGGGCCCCTTCTTGATACGGCACCCCGTTCTGACCCCGCCTCGTCTTTGGACCACTCTTCGGACACTCCTCATGCCTCTGTACCTCTTGCCGGTGCTGTTTCCTCACCCGCTTCAGGTACTGAGGTCTCGACTGACTCCTTCGATTTATCTGACCTCCACTCTCCTATGACTATGCTTCCGGCCTCTCCCTCTACGGTGCGGCAATTTTCGAATCGCCGGCCCGTTCCACGTCGGACCAACTCTGGTCCCACGCCTCAACGCCAATGACAATTACCTGCTGATGATACTTCTCCACCTTCTCGTTCTTCTCAGAAAAGATTGACACGTCCTGCACTCCCTTTCCAAGCTCATTTTCAGACTGCACAATGGACTAAATTCTTCACTTTACGACCGACTTCCTCTACCACCTATCTTTCCGACCACAGTATTGGCAAGGCACTCCTACGCCATGTTGGTAAAGATATTTCTTTTAATGTTCTTAAGAGCGGTACGTGCATCATCACTGTACAGAATGCTACCCAAGCTCATGATCTTTCTCTTCTTTCCCATATAGATACTGTTCCTGTCACTATTGAAAAACATCATTCCCTCAATTCTTGTAGTGGTACCGTCATTCTGCCCCATACCATAGTTCAACAAAATTTCCAGACATGTGACAATGACATTCTTGAACAGCTGGAACTCCAAG